AATTTGGTTTTAATTTGTTCCTTAAGTTCTTTTAACTTATAACTGTTTATGTAAAGTATTTCATTATACTGCACTCTTGAAACTCGAGTGTAAGAGGTGTCTTGTTCATATATTTGTATATATATATATATATGTATTCTTTTAAAATAATATAATGGTGATATGTTTGTTAGTCTGTTAGAGTGTTATTTGCGCAGCAAAAACCTCTTCTGGCTGACATAAACCACTTGGGGATTCTTACCTTCCACCTTGGATTGGGGATGAGTAAGCAAACTATATTGTCACTGTTACTCTCTCTCAAAAAAAAAAGAAGATAGCTATCAAATTGCGTAACGATCAAAAGACTCTTCTTACTCTTGTTACCGACTAGAGGACTGATTTTCTGGTGTACTAGTCCTATGTATTTGCCTATTTCCTTGTTCAGATAGTGTAACATGCAATTAAGCAAAAATACACTTATGGCGTTCAAACCTGTGCAAGAAATTTGCAAGACCGACGTGCAAGATCCGTGCAAGATTTCTTGCACGGATCTTGCTTAATCAATTCTTTCACAACCCCGCTTGAAAAAACTGCGCAAGCTGAATCATTTGGCCTCAAAGCGGGGAAGCCTAGGTTAACATACATAAGTCTTAAGTCTGCAAGTTCCGTGCAAGTTCTATGCAAGACGTTAAAAGAACTTGCACAGAACTCTCACAAAAATTGCAAATTTCTTGCACAGGTTTGAGCGCCATAACTTTTAAAAAAAAAAAGAGGGGACTGTACAGTCAACCCTGACATAACCCATATACCAGTTTATGGACAGACTTTGGTATGGGTTTTGATGGGGTTATGGTCTTCAAACCTGTGCAAGATCCGTGCAAGATTTTTTGCACCAATCTTGTGTGGGAAGGGCTGCTGTGAGCTGGGGACTTCCTTGCAGAAGGAACAAATCCAAGTGAGAATACTAGTGACTGTAGAATATGGGTTAGACTCAATAAAAAGAGGAACCAAGGGTTGGGGAATTTGGGGATCAAGGGCATTGACTGGAGGAGGTGCCCTCTTTTGATCAAAGGCAACCGTTCCAGCTTTGGCCCCCAGGTTGATGACATGGGCAACACAACTGTGGTGTTGATTGGAGGTGTCAAAAGATGGGATTGTGGTTTGAAGAGTTTGACCCATGGTTCTTTTGTTGGAAGTATTATCTGTGGTACAGGAATAGAGGTTTTTGGAAATGTTGAACTTGTCCAGAGTGCGTTTAAGGAGAGTTGCAAGATTCACTCTGGTGTGAAGTCCGTTGATTGGTTTCAAAGCAAGAATTGCAATACATCTTGAAGTTGTTGTCAATCCAATGAGCAGTCACACAAAGCATTGCAATGTTGTGTGGAGACATCCATCCATTTCAAGTGATACTGACATGTTTAGCTGAGAATGAACCATTGGTGACAGCAGCACAGATCAATCAATAATGGGACAAGATACCTTTGGATATAGCCATTTTTTGACAGGATTGAAGGTGTAGCAAGGTTAGTCATAGTAAGGAGCTCTCAAAACTCTGGAGCATCAACCAACAAGATTGGGAGCTCTTGTTGGACTATCAAGCGGATCAGAGATCCTTCAGGTTTGCTCAATCAAAAAAATTGACATATGGAAAGAAAGATCAGTGAGAGTGTTAAAAAAGGAGAATGATGTGAAACCTTCAAGAACTGTCCTTGGAGAGCCTTCTGTCATTGAAAAAAGCTGACATGGTTTGCTGATTGGTGTTGACAGGCTTGCTCAATGTGGTGGCAGCATGAAAGGTGTCTAATCAGAGACTCCGCGCTGCAGTACAGTTGATTGCTAGGCTTCTGCTGCAGATCACAACAGGGGTGTCAGGATTCTCTTTGGCAAGGGCAACACTGTCAAAAAAGCCTTGATTGCCTTGGCAGATGTTCTTGAGGAGGCCTTTGATATCTTGCTGAATAAATTACTGCCACACCAACAACAAGTGTGCAGTGGTAGTCAAACTTAACAAAGTCCAATTGTGCCTCAGATTTTTTTGACAACTAGTTGTCGCCGAGGCACAAGGGACTTACGCACTTGGGTTGATTTTTGGCGTGGTGAGTTTTCAATTTTGTAGAGGAAAACTTCACCACACCACTCACCAGTAAGTGGATTATTCCCCAACATAGAAAGCAGGAATTAAGATCTCCTGCTTCTTCTGAAGAGATTGGTCTCTTCAGATTTCTCACAAGAAAATTGAGACAAAAGTTTTCCTTAAGAGGAAAACATTGTCTTCAAAAATCAACCTTCTGTGCAAATGTTACAGAGATCTGTGTATGTAGCTCAAATTTTGAGCTATGTACAGCCAATGAGATTTTATGAAAAATCAAGTTCTCAATGAGAACTTTGATCAATGAGAACTTTGATGAGCATTGAGATGACAGGTAGAGGTGAAGATTGCATCAAGAGAGAACAAGTCTCCCCGTTTGCATATCCACTTTTTTTTGCTTTCTTTTGATATCAATACTGAGGAAATGGTGGAAAACAAAAAAAACATACAAATTGATCATACCCATCTCCTGTGCACATCTTTTGTTTGTTCAAAGGACACTGATTTTCTCCAAGTCTTCTGTTCTACACTGAATCACCAAGCTTATCTCAAAGTGGAATGAGAATGGATATTGAGGGGATTCTTTGATACCCTTGATGTTCAAGTGTCTGATTTAAATTTTTGGATTACATACACTGATTGCTGTAAACCACAGTGAGATTTCAAAAAATTTGAAGACAATGTTTTCCTCTCAAGGGAAATTTTTGTCTTGATTTTTTTTTGAGAAATTTCAAGAGACCAATCTCTTCAGAAGAAGCAGGAGATCTTAATTCCTTCTTTCTATGTTGGGGCATAATCCACTTACTGGTGAGTGGCATGGTGAAGTTTCCCTCTACTAAAATTGAAAACTCACCACACCAAAAAACATGACAAGCGCCTAAGTCCCTTGTGCCTTGGAGATGACCAGTCATCAAAAAAAATTCAAGGCACAATTGGACTTTCTTAAGTTTGAGTGGTAGTGGTATTGGAGATGGCTTCAGAGACAGAATTGGAAGGGGCAAGGCTGGTGGGATTAGAAACTGGACTGAGGGGATCACTAGTGTTGTCTGACTCATGAGCCGCATGGAGAAGCTGAGAAGATAACTGGGCTGTAGGAGTGGATGAAGTCATTGTGAATAAAGGAAGTGTTGATTGGTGAAGAAGATAACAATAACTAATAATAGAAAAGATGCACCGCCAACATATTTACCTCGGATTACAAAATCGGAGGTATCCTCGGATGCAAAACCTCGGACAGAAGCTTCCCGAGGTTTTGATCCGAGGTTATTTCCAGGGCAAAAAAATACCTCGGGCAAAAACCTCGGACAATGTCTGTCCGAGGATTTGCCTCCGATGATGCCTCAGATTTCTCAACCCGAGGCATCTATGCTGGCAGTGATGTAATTATAACTTTAAGATGGAAGGGAACTTTAATTAGGATATAAGAAGGAAGGACCAGATGGATATAAAAATAATTAACACAAAGGAATCAATAGTGGCGACAGAGGTTTTCTTGAATGTCACATATACGGTAAGTCAACTGCTTTGACCTCCTTTTTGGAGGAAAATGGCTCAGTGAGCTGGTCAGGCAAGGACACCTGGGACACCTACAGGGGTTTTGTGAGTCTCACATGGTTAGGTTCATGTTTCCTGTTACATGTACTGTTGGCTCTGAGAAATTTCTTGGGCAGGCTTGGGCAGACAGGGCTGGGGCCAGGTCATAGCCCTAATCTTGCACATTAAATTTTTGACAACCCCAGTTATTGTGTTCCAACTGGTATAAAAAACTGTGCAAGACCAACATGCAAGATCCTTGTCAGTTCTACTCATCTCTGGCCCAGAATTTGCACAAAACTTGCACAAAGTTTTGCACAGGTACCATAACTATTTTTTATCACAATGGTCTTCTGGACTTAAAAAAAGTGAAAATCATGCACCCACAAAAGTTTGGGTTAGGCCAGAGTATGGGTTACAAGGGGTATGGGTTATATCAGAGTTGACTGTCTACATACATACATATATGTAGTAAAGCTTACTTGAATCATTTCAAGGTTTAAGGTTTAAGATAGTAAAGTTTAAGTGAAGAACTTGAGATCAACAAAAAATCTGAATTCAAATTCTAGAAATTTAATTTGTTTATGAAAAATGGAAGAGAAAAAAACCTTTTGTTGAATGATTGATAAAGTAATGCCTTGATGGGACAAGACTGCTTGATATACAATTCTACCATAAAAAGATTTGTTTTATTCTTAAATTTGATGGGTTTATTAGTGATAGATTTATTTAATTTTTTTTTCTCTCATTTGATTTCTTTTTTGTTGTTTAGAAAATTACATACAGATATTTTGTTATAAGTTGGACATCAAGAAAAACTGAAAAAAAGTTCAATTTTCAGTTTTTAACTGGATTTAAACCCAGCAAAGACTGTATCTTTTTGGTTCTCAGTGGTAAACTTTGAAGTTTAATCTTCTTTAAGGTAGTGAAAAACTTTATTATAATTTTTCAACATTCAACATTGTACAATGAAATAGCTATATTACATTTTTCTTCAAGATTGATCTCTTGATTATAGGTATAAATGAGATGAGATCTTGTGATTTTCATAAAAGATTCAGAGAACTAGACTTCAAATTCAACATCTGGATTCTGCATTGCCAATTTGCAGAGAAAGATGTTTGATAGCATTAGGAAGCCCAGACCGAGCAGTATGAACTGGCCCCGACCCGAGTTCCAGGCTCCAGCTCAATCTGATGAACAATAAGCTAGACTGAGTCTGAACTCTGAGCTCTGAGGCCAGTTCTTGCTTTCATTTCTCATTCTCTTAACCTGATTCGCACCAAACCTCACCCAAAAAGCCATGATCCACGCAGTCCTAATCTGTAAGCACCTCACCCTACCCTCATAACCCCTTCAAAAAACCCCAACCCACTAACCACAACAAAAACCCTCCAAAGTCAACAACGAAGGCAAACCACGACTTTCGAAATTCTATTCAAACCAAACCCCAAGCACACCCACAAACCGATATCAAACCTTAAAATCAATCTACGAAACGATCTCCAAACGACCTCATCAATTATGTAATTTTATTATAAATCCAGAAAATACCGATCAAACTATTGTTTATAGAAATTATGCTACACTTTATTTTGTGATGATTGTGGATGGGAACGAATCGGAGTTATCGATCTTGGATTTGATTCAAGTTGAGTTTTTCAAACTTTTCAATTGATGACTTTTAATCGCTTTTGATTGCTGATTTTGGTTTTTGGGGACGGTTTTTAGGTATTTGTTGAATCATTAGATAAATGTTTTCCTTCAGTTTGTGAATTAGATTTAATTTTTCATTACGATCAATTACAATTACTCTTATCCCAATTAATTTCAGGTGGGATCGTTTTAAACACTTCATTGGATTCAATCGTACATCAATTTCAACAAATCTCTTCCAAAAACTCAATCATAGGTAAGAGTACTGGATTTGGTGATCAACGTCTTGAAGGCAGTGGTGGGATTGGGTTTAATGGGATTGGAATCGGGGGTGGGAATTGGAAACCTTTTGGGTAAGGTTTTTTTGGTTTTTTGGTTTTTTGGTATGAGTGTTTATGTATTTCAGTAATAATAAAAACCATTTAATTGTACAAAACATGAATAAATAGATGCTATAAAATTACAACCCCATCCAAACATATACAAACCACAACACAGCAGTGAAAATCGAGGAAACTGAGAGTTTTAAGATAAAGCATGACCCAAAACTTTGATAGCTAAACCTTTAAGGATCGTAGCTTTTTGAACCGAATCAAGTTCCAAGAAAACAGCTGAAACCGATTTGCCTTTCGCATCTCGGATCGAACCTAAACGGTTTCCTGCAAATGATCCAATAGCTAAACCAGGTATAGATCCTAAGATAAACCCTAGGGTTGCACCTGAAGCTGTTCCTAGATATTTCCATAACGGCGTGACTTTTTCGACTTCTGGTTTTAACATTTCTTCAACTGAAATTGAAAGAATTCACACATCAGTTTTTTTTTTTGGCATGAGAGAGGTGGTAGAAAGAGACCTACAAACTGATGAAAATGTATCGTTTGGATCGGGTCGTTCTTCGGCTTGAGACGACGAATTAGTACTAAAGAATCGATGAAAGAAAGAATGATGTGAATCCGGTTCTGGTGGGTCTTGAGTTTGGTTTTGGAATGTATTGGTTTTAAGGTACTCTTTTCTTGATTGATCATACTCTTTTTTACGTTTAGGATCTGATAAAACATAATAAGCATCTGCTACTCTTTGAAATTCGTACTAAGAACAAACGAGAAACGAAGAGATTTAGATAGGATTTCAAGGTTGATTTGGAAAGTAGGGATTGAAGTTTACGGTTGCTTGACGTTTTTCTGAATCTGTTAGATTGGCTTTCCGATCTGGATGGGTTAGGAGTGATGCTTTTTTGTATGCGTTTCTTATATCGTCAGAAGTAAGTGAAGGAGTATCTTGGATAGAAAGTATTGACTGAAAAAGTTTGATTAGAGTTAGTGATGGTGTGGTAAGTTGGTTGAGAGTTGATGAGTAAACTCACATAGTAATCTGGGAAATCCATGGTGTTTGATTTAGAATGGTTTGTTGGTAGTGGTAGTGGTAGTGGGTTGATGGTGGTGGTGGAGTGGTAGGTTCCTGATTTAGAAATGTAGTCTGATCGGATAGCCCTGATTGCATCATTGCACAGCCTGTTTTATGTAAAAATGACGAAATTGGGTTTAAAGTACCGAGACTGACTTTACCGATGATCCGATCGAGATGATCCGATTCAGATTGCAGTGTCAAATTAATTTCTTGACTCTTACCACCATCGAACATCGAAAAGGGACTTCAACATACTCAAGAACACTCAATCCTCAAAAATGTTATCAAGAAGATTATTACTTAAACCTTCATTCAAACCTCAATCATCATCCATCATCAACCAATCACCATTCAAAAGAAACTCATATCTATCTACCAGCACCATCCATTCCAAATCCATCAACCCATCCAATCCTAAACCAAAAAAGAAACTCAACAAAGAAGAAGAAGAAGAAACAGAACAAGCACCAGCACGGATCCCATCTCTATCTGAATTCTTTGGACAAAAACCTACACCTTCAAAGACTTCTTCTTCTAAGAAATCTTCAACAGATCCTTCATTTAAAATCTTATTTCAAACCGGTTCATCTTCTAATCAGAAAAAACCTAATCAATCTAAACATGGAAATCAAAAAGGTCAAGTAGAGAATCCGAATCCGTTTGGATCAAGTATGATCTTTTGGGTCTTAGGTGCTTATGGACTTTATCAAATCGTTTCAACCGATTCACTTACCACCAAAGAAATCTCATGGCAAGAGTTTAGAACGAACTTACTAGAAAAAGGATTAGTTGAAAACTTACAAGTCATCAATCGAAGTAAAGTCAAGGTGATCTTACATTCGAATGCTACAACGACAAATGCTATGAATGGATTGGGTAATTCGTTTGTGTTTAGTATTGGTTCGGTTGATAGTTTTGAAAGGAAACTAGAAGAAGTTCAAGATCTTTTAAAGATTCCAAGTCATGAGAGAGTTAAAGTCCAATACGTTGAACAAACTTCATTAGTGAATTTGTTTTGGAATTTCGCACCGACAATCGCCTTAGCTGGTTTTTTGTTTTATATGACTCGAAGAGCTGCAGGAGGACCGGGAGGGGTAGGCGGTGGCGGTGGCGGTCCAGGTGGGATTTTTAATATTGGAAAAAGTAAGGCTAAGATGTTTAATCATGAATCAGAAGTTAAAACTAAGTTTAGAGATGTGGCTGGAATGGATGAAGCTAAGGAAGAGATTATGGAATTTGTAAAGTTTCTTAAAGAACCACAGAAATGTAAGTGATCTTGATTCATCATAGATCATCATTCTACTTCTCATTTCTCTATTTCGGAAGTGGTTTGAATTGATCAAGATTTTGGTTTGGTTTGGTTTAGATGAAAGATTAGGAGCCAAGATTCCAAAAGGAGCGATCCTTTCAGGTCCACCAGGTACCGGTAAAACTTTATTGGCCAAAGCCACAGCCGGAGAAGCCGGAGTTCCATTCCTTTCAGTTTCAGGATCAGAGTTTGTAGAAATGTTTGTAGGAGTAGGACCATCAAGAGTACGAGATCTGTTTGCAACAGCCAAGAAGAATGCACCATGTATTGTGTTTGTAGATGAGATTGATGCCATAGGGAAAGCGAGAGGGAAGTCTGGAGGGTTTGGAGGAAATGATGAGAGGGAATCAACTTTGAATCAGTTGTTAGTTGAGATGGATGGATTCGATACTTCGGCTCATGTGGTTGTCTTGGCTGGAACGAATCGGGCTGATGTACTTGATAAAGCATTACTTAGACCTGGTCGATTTGATCGACATATTGCTGTTGATCGACCGGATGTGTCGGGTAGACGTCAGATCTTTTTGGTTCATTTGAGACCATTGGTATTAGAAGGAGGAATGGCAGATCGGGCTGAAGAAGCTAAACGTCATCAATCTACTAAAACTAATCAAGCAGAAGAAGAAGAGGTAGATCAGGAAGAAGAAGATGAAGAAGTAGTGGAAGAAATCGAAAAGGAAATCGTCACACCGGATTGGCTTGTGAAACTTTCTCATAAACTTGCGGCTCATACTCCTGGTTTCTCAGGAGCTGATATTGCTAATGTTTGTAATGAAGCTGCATTGATTGCTGCAAGATTATCTGCAGAATCTGTAACGTTGAGTAATCTCACCAAAAAAAAATCTGTATCTCTCACTCAAAAAAAATGATAGGAACACTAAGTTTTTTTTTGGGGTTTTTTTTTTTGGATTTTAGTGAAAAACATTTTGAAATGGCTATTGAAAGAGTTGTGGCTGGATTAGAAAGAAAATCAAGAGTTTTATCAATTGAAGAAAAACGTACGGTTGCTTATCATGAAGCTGGACACGCTATTATGGGTTGGTTCTTGGAACATGCTGATCCTTTATTGAAGGTTTCTATCATACCTAGAGGGGTTGGAGCTTTGGGTTATGCTTCTTATCTTGTTAGTTTTTCCTTTTTCAGATTTCTTTTTTTCCATTTCTTCATTTCTTACTTGAAAAATCAAGTTAGGTATTGATGAGAATTTTGGTTTGGTTTGCTTGCGTGTGGGATTGATTAGCCAGAAGAAAGGTTTTTGTTTACTACTGAACAATTAATGGATAGGATGTGTATGATCTTTGGTGGTAGGGTTTCAGAAGAAATCTTTTTTGGTAAGATCACTACTGGTGCACAGGATGATTTACAAAAGATTACGAAACTTGGATTCGAATTAGTTGGAAATTGTTTGAGTATTTTTTTGACTAGTTTTTCTTACAAATGGGAAAAAGAAACTGAATTTTTTGGGGGGGTTTTTTTTAGATGGAATGTCTAAAGCCTTTGGACCTATTAGTTTTGGTAGATCTGATGGTGGACAAGAATCATTTACGAAACCGTACTCTGAAAAAACGGGTGAGATGTTGGATAATACGGTTAGAGAGATTATTCATCAAGCTCATAAAAGGACAACGGAGATGATGAATGAAAAGAAAGAGTTGGTCAAGATTGTTGCTGAAAGGTTATTAGAAACTGAAGTCTTATCTAGGTAAGGTGTTTTTCCCAAAAATTTACAAAAAAATGCGTTGATTAATTGATCATGAACTTTTTTGGATTGGGGGGCGTTTGTAGACAAGATATGATTGATTTGATTGGTAAAAGACCGTTTGATAAACCTGATGCATACGATGATGCGATGGGTAGTTCAGGTAAAAGAGGTTCAGGTTCGGGTTCGGGTCCTCCGCCTCATGATCCAGTACAAGGGAAAGATGAAAGTTTGTTAGGTAATTCGGAAAAAGAAATGCATCCGTTAGGTAAAGGAATCGAAGGTGGTGAAGGTGTACCATTACCTGAACCGGCTCTTTCTTCTACAAACCTTTAAACTCCTCGCTCGGATTCACTTTTTTTTTACGTTTCTGTTATTTTTTTTTTGTTGATTGTGATTTTCAGTTTTTTTGTGAAAAGAAATTGATTAGATTTGTTTTTCAAAGAAATGATAAAAGAAAAAATCAGTTATTTTTTTTTGGTTTGTGTACAACATGAAGAGTTTTGTTTACATACATACATATATACAATCCCCCATGACATATAGTACTTATAAATAAATAGAAATTTCTTTTTCTTTAAATCTTTTCTTGTTTTTTTTTATCAAGGATTGGTTTTTTTTTGAAAAGAAAACTAAATTTGTTTGACATAATTGGAAAGATGACATTGAAGATGGTTTTTTTGGGTGGGTTTTGAGGTTTTGAGGTTTTTATTTTTTTATTTTTTGAGGTTTTGTAGAAGTGAAGGGTTTTTGATATGAGAAAACGGTTTTGTAACTTTTTGAAACTTGAATAGATGTACTTGAAGGGTTCTTTTTCTTTTCTTTTTGCAGGATTTATGAATTGATTCATGGAATAGTGGCTCTCAAACCTGCCCCGGTTTTCAAAAAACCCAGTTGAGCCAGTTGTTTTTCGGCAGTAACTTTGTGTATCAAGTTGACATTTGTTGACAGCTTCCAGCCAAAAATTCAACTGGGGCAACCGGGTTTTTTGAAACTGGGTAAGGTTTGAGAGCCACTAATGCCTCACCTAAGAAGCACATTCCTAGCAATTGTATTTTCCAAAAAGAGACGTATTTCTTGGAGGGCTGGGAGGCGAAAGTGGATAGAATTTTAGGCACTTTTTGGCCAACTTGAACCCCACTAATGTGAAGAATTGAGATCTTGAATGATCTGAACGTGCCATAAAGTGTGCCGTGGTGTTATCAAACACGGCGGACTTTTTGAAACAGAGTTGGTGATGCTTGCGCCCGCAGGTCTTTGTAACCTTATCATGGCTTCAAGGGCTATATGTATGACTACGATAATTTGAGTTTGAAGAACACCCACATCTTAGATCTTGCTAACTCTGATCTTGAATCATCATGCCCAACATGACGCCAATGATCAGAATTTTCTTAGCCATGTCCATAATTAACAACATCGTCTGCAACCCTATGGACAACTCCCTTCAAATGAACGTGATCCATTCGAATACTGTAACAAATGAGGGGGTTCATGAAAGTCTAGGCATATCTGGCTTACAAAACGAAGCTTTTGTACCACAAGAAAAAGTACAAGAACCCTGCACAATTGCCGATTTCGTCACATCCGGGCAGAACAGTTTAGGAAAGATAAACTCTTCAAGCGATACAGAAAAGTCCAAGGGAAAGAAACTCTTTCGTTTTGATTTGAACCTTCGATATGAACCACAATGTACCGAGGAGGATGATCGAGAGCCCAAGCGTAGAAAGATAAACGATTGTAGAGAAACGGATAAAGACATTCTAGAGGTGGAAACCCCTGATCCTGATCAATGTCAATATTCCTCATCAAGTGATTCCATGGGATTACTTGGCAAGAAAAATGAACAATCCAGAGTCAGGGGAAAGGCAAGTGGCTGCATGAACAGCGTCTCAACTGAGCCTGAGGTTCACTCCTCGACAACAACCAAAAGTCAATCCCAGCAGGGAGTACAACCAATCTCATTGATTGGATCCCGTTATATGGATCAGTGCGGATCAAGTGAAATTGCATATAAAGGGAGAGCTCCTCAGTTTCACAAATATCACTTCAAAAAAAGTGGTGCATCGGTGTTGCTTCCTAATTACAAAGTCCGAGTGATAGGAAATATCTGGTATAACATTCCGGAGATCAATCAGATGTTTGGTAAGATGATCGATCAGGGACGCCAGGTAGGTTCCCAAACAGGTCTTGGCAACCAGATGAAAGATTGGTTCAAAGAACTCAAGAAAGATATAGCTAGCAAACACGTCAATTCGGCCATTTTTAAACAAGAATTAAGGAAGATCTTCAGGACAATATCAAAAGCATATCGTCATGTCACACTTGTATTTCTAGGAAGTCTTCAAGTCATTCACTCAACAAAAAAAGAAGAAATGCAGGAACTGGTTCATGATGGATGGGCTTTCATTGTCAATTATATGGAGGTATGGAGATGGATCGACTTGGAGAATTCTCATGTTCCAGCAATGGATGTTAAACCAGAAGAGCTTGAGATAGAAAACCCTCTTGAATTGTGGCACTATTTGATGGGGTTAGCAAGAACCTCAAGAATCTCTGTAATTCTTCTTTGGCGTCTTTGTAATCATTGGTACCATTTATCTTCCTACAAGGACAAAATGATGATAAAAACCCCTCAAGACTTACATGTGAGATGGCATTACCATCTAGCCAAAGCCAATTTACTCTCAGATTGGGAGATAGAGCCTCCGGCTACCATATTCAGCTTGGGGCAGTCTAGTCTTGAGACTAATATGATAAACACTAAATCTCTGTACAGACTTATACGGAAGGAGAATTTTTCTGTGGCAGATGGAAGAACTAAAAGATTTGTTGGAATACTTAGAGAGGTGGGAAAAAAGGCTTTGAGTGCACTTAATCTACAACAATCACCATTTGAATTTCTTCAAACCTATTGCCAAAAAATGAAAAACAAAAACTTACAGTTACCTCAAGAATGGAAAGGAAACTTTGAATCATTGAAGCAAAAGACAATGTTTGGAATGATTCCTTGCTTTCTGGGAATGATCCACCTTCTTCATCCTATTGAGGTTTCAAAAGATCAACCTAATCCTGCAGTACTTGATGGCTTGAAGTTCATGCAAGTATTTTTGAAAGGATGGGAAAAAGATGACTTGGAGAAGGCTTTTAGAACAGATCCAATTGAGATCAGGAGACTTGCTAGAACTGATGATCCTTCTACAGTTCTGTTGGCTTACTTGATGAATTTGAAACCTTCTCCTGATCACAGGCTTGCTTCAAAGATTTTTTGGCAATTATTTCAGGTTTGGCAAAGATGGCAAGGCTCTGGGTTTCTGAACAAGAACCCACTTTCCACAAAAATTGATTTTGACAATGCCATACAGATGGCATATGCTGACTTTCAATAGCTCTGCAGAGTTGTTTGTTTATTCTGATTCTCTTTTCCCTTGTTCTTGCTAGTGAAGTGTAATTTTTCTGAAAATCTCTTACTTCATTTACCTCAGTACATAGATAAGCTTTGGGAGATCCTTCTTGTAATCAGGGTGATACCCAGAGTGAATCTTAAGTCTTGGATTTTTTCAAAGTCTCCAGATTTTGTCTTCAGTTTGAGTGTGTAGATGAGATATCAGGATGTCAAAAGGCAGAGGTTCACCCATAATCACTTGGTAACAGAGCAGAATACACCAAAATCTACTTTGGGCATATCCACCTGAGAATTGAGCATCACTGGCCTTCCCTAGGTCTGACTTTGGGGAAATCCTAAGAGGTGTGTAGATTGTGCAAAACTGAGTGCATCAAAGAAAACCAAGAGAAGAAATGTGTTTAGTAAAGACACTAAGATTCTAACCTGGTGAACACACAGAAAGTATATGAAAACAAGAATACGTCTCATGGTGGCACATATAATGTTTTCCAGGAGTGATTTTCATGTTCTGTGTTTTGGTTCTTAGTTGTCCACTTTTCTTTGGGGGGCATTTCCATTTGCTAGAATATGATAAGACATACCTGTGGTTTTAAGAAAAAGGTGGTCTTAAGTACCACACTTTCAAACAACAGCTACAAAAGATGATCAACACACCTGCGCACATTGCAATAGGAATGACACCAAAAGTAACGTGATATCAACAAGCCAAAGGAGTAAAGCAGTTAATTCTATGATGTGAGAGAAAACTGTTGTTTGACTAACAGCTGACAAGAAACATATAGTACAAAGACTTTCAGATTCTTTTTGATGAGAATCAAGAGAAACTCAGGCTGAGTCCTATTTAAAGTCTTGACTTTTTTAAGTGAATAGGTTCATAGTTGTTTCCAATATAGATTTCCTCACTATGCAAAAAGAATCTCAATGAACTTCAAAACTTCATCCATAATCACTCCATGATATCAGGCTGACTAAGACAGACTCAGGAAAGAGATGTTCTATTCCCAATATGCTACACAAGTCTCATAACACCCATGATGAAATAAAGTGGGTGGAGAATGTAGGTCAAACTCAAAGTATTTCTAGTGTACGCCCTTGTTTTGACACACCATGAATTTGAATGGCATGATTACTCATGACCTCTAGGTTGATATCACTAATATCATTCTTTGAGTTGTATCATTCTTTGAGATGTTGTGCTTGTCTTTAAAAAAATTGTGTTGAAAGTAATCTTGATTTGACTAAAATGGATCCGGAAAATATTGAGCTTATAATCCAAAGAGCCCTTGATGATTTCTTTTAGTAATACCAAGCTTTTGGGTATAAATCTGAACATCCCGCTTGGAAATGATATTTTGATGATCTGATTCTTGGTGACTCAAGGATTTGTAAAAAAAATCTTAGAGATGATTTGACACTTTGGGTAATTTTGAGGAATTTGTTTTGAATGGTTCATTGCAAAGGGACTGAAGACAAATGATTGAATTTCATTTAGGTCAAAAGGATCAAAAAGAGAGTCTCAGGAAATATACTATGTATGAGCTCAGAGTCAAATCATAGTCTTCATCTTCACTTAGTCACTTGGCTCATGACATATATAGGAGAGATGTGCATCCAGGTTAGATGAAAAGTTTTTAATTGAGATCAGAAATTCTTATGTGTATTCAACTCAAAGTTTTTTTTCAGAAAATAGATGAAAAGAACAAAAGAAAGAGTTTAATAAGATAAACTTTTTGTATAACATTAAAGAAAGTTTGTAGGGATTTCTTTTCAGGGGGAGTTCATGAGCTAAGTAAAGGAGAGTGTTAAGAAAAATGAAAAAAAACAAATTGTAGATAGTTTAGATGTTTTCTTTTAGTGATATGATAAATTGAGAAAGTTGAATCCGAGGAAAGAATGATATAAGAATCAAATAAAACAAGTTGTATATATCTTGATTTATAAGAGAGTCAAAAAAGAAATCGAGAAGATAAGATCGAAAGAGTTTTGGGAATTGATCTCCCTTTATGATCATGAAGTTTTCTTGGGATCGACTTCAGAGCCTACTTGAACCTCTTTGGGTTTTTCAGTATCTTTACTTCCAGTAGCAGTAGGAAGATCTTTAGTAGATTCAGCAAGTTTAGTTTCAGTTGTGGGAGCTTTTTCTTCTACTTTAGGTTTTAATGGTCCTTTAACAGGTTGAGGTTTATTCAAAGTGAAATAACGTCTGATCCCTCTAAATAATCGTGCTAAGATCGAATCTGAGGTACGATACCAATGTTTGTATGTACCTGGTTTACTTTCTGGATAAGTTTTGGTTTCTTCTTTTTCCAATGGTTCCATCGAAGTATGTTTTTTCCAATTTGAGATGATTGTTTTTTTCCAATTTTGATACATTTGTTTGAATTGTTCAATCAGTGAATTTTTTGGTTTTTTGGTTTCTTTTGATTCTGATTCTGATTCTGAACTTGAACTTGAACTTGATTCTGAACGATCAATTGGTTTTTCATTTCCGGATGTTTGAGGTTTCTTTGAATTTGTTTTAGTCCTTTCTACTTCATCTATCTTGTTTTGATCTTGTTTAGAAAGAAGTGAAGACTTTTCCGATTCTGATAATTCTTTTTCCTCAACTAAATTCACTTCTATAATCCAATCAAACATCAGTAAGAATTTATGTACCTCGACTTCAAAATTCAGTGTAGAAGTGATGGTCTGATTGGTAACTTAACTGGTATCATCCAATCCTTTCGAAACCTCAGAAATCTTCACATTTTGCGCAATTCCTTCTCCATCTTTTGCAAAGTTTAAACTACGTGCTCTAATCTTGAAATCTGATATCGGATTTGTTGCTGCCAATGTTACACAAAGTAGACCTAGGCAAGTAGATCTGAAGAGGGAATGACGCATTGTCGTTGCAAGCACAGAGTGAAAGTCGGGCTACGATCTGAGGGGTTTTCTCTCTTTCAGTTTTGTTGATGGATAAGGTCTGGTCACATACATGATGATCGAATGACTTACTGTTTTCTTAAACCTTGTCAATCGACACGGGAAAGACCACACAAGATCTTGGATCGTGAAGAATTGTTCTTCTGTATACGAGAATCCTACGGTTAACTTGTGCTTAATGGAACGATAAGCTGATTGGCTTTACAAAACGTTTAAGATTGGATAGCTTAAAGAAGGAGAGAAAGTCTCCGATTCTTCCCGGTGATCTGGTATATAAAATCCTCAATCCTGGAACACTGACTTAGAATGATATCTATGTTATAAAGGTGGCAAGTGACAAATCCAAATCCAAAAACTCAGTAAGGAATCTAAACGTGTTGGATTGATCCTGAAAGATCCTTTAGACTTACTTATACAGGGGGTTCCGAAGTTATCCATTTCATGTTCTGAAGATTGAATTCCAAAACGTCATATAGATCGAAGAAAAAAGAGATTTAATCTGAAACTGGGAATCAAGAGCTGTAAAAAGTGTTCAATCTTAATGAGTTAGATGAACAGTTTTCCTATAAGACCCGAAGGATTTAAGACGAATTGAACAAACGTGGCCTTAGTATACGCGGTCACTGGACAGTTTATGAGGATTAAGCTGCAGGTAGCCATTCAACTTCATCGAAACCGATCAGATCATTGCGCTGCGAGGAATAATTGAATATATGCGCAGGTTTTTTCGGTTTCGAATCGCATGCCATATAAGATTGCGGGATATATCTGATAATGATGTGATGAACGATTCTGTAACGAGGTTTCAAAGCTAAAGGTGCGTTCGAACTAGCCAGTGATTTTTACAAACCTGGAGCTATGGTGCAATAGTTGAATTCCATCGGCAAGTTCCTTTTGCTGTTCCTTCTCCGCACATTGCAGGGTGGAGTTGTTCAAACTTGGACTCGTGACAATTCTTGGTTCTGAATGTCCATAGTTTGTGTGAGTGTTCATCCAGCCTTTGATGTTGATGATTCAAGAGTGATGTAATTTAGTAAAGGCAATGGGAAGTTGGATATCGGATATGCATCTGTGAAGCGTGTTCAAGCTCTGGCCTGCTTGATTCCATTCCCGTCCTTGTCACACCAAAAGGATGCGATTCGAGATACGAGTCAGACGGGAGCAGACGGGTCTTGCTTGATGGATTGGCTGGCAATCCAGAGCAATCCAGAGGTGCTGATGCGCTACATATGTATTCGGATTCCAAACGGAAGGAGAGCTCGAGATGTAGACATGTATGCGTGGTATGGTGAGAGACTAACAGAAATGACCGAGGTGTACAGGAACTCCGACAGGATATCCCTTTTCGTCTCGCTCAAGATCGGCCTCAACTTTTTTGATCTCCAGCTCAGCTTTTTCTTGACCGGTTACCTCTCACCATCGTTTCCCCGATTATCGATATGAGCTCCTCACCCTCCAACCCTCGCAGCTTGAACGTCGTCGTTCTCATCTCTGGTTCAGGTCTGTCTCTTTTCTCTTTTGCATTGTTTAAGACAGGCTATCTAACCCCGATCTCATCCATCATTCGGTCTTACTTCTTCATTACCACAGGAACAAACCTTCAAGCTCTTATCGATGCAGTGCCTACTTTTAAAAATCCCCATGCACAAATCGTTCGAGTGATCTCAAACACAAAACATGCCTATGGTCTAAAACGTGCTGAATCCAGCACACCACCAATACCCACCACTATACATAGTTTAGCAAGTTTTCGAAAAACATGCGAATCAAATCTTCCCGAAACAAAAGTTAGAAAATCATACGACGAAAGTTTAGCTAAAGTAGTACTTGAGCCTAAACCTGATTTAATCGTTCTTGCTGGATTTATGCATATCTTGAGTGAAGGGTTCTTGGAAGCTTTAAATAAAGTACCGGTTATTAATCTTCATCCTGCTTTACCTGGTTGTTTTGATGGTGCCTGTGCAATTGCACGTGCTTGGGAAGCTGGACCAGATGGGACAGGAGACGTATCAGAAACAGGGGTGATGATTCATGAGGTATGTGGATTTTGATGATTAGTTGATTTGAAGCAAAGACTAACTTTGATATTTTCATAAATGGTCCTTTGTTAGGTCATTGCAGAGGTCGACCGAGGAAGTCCTGTGGTGATAAGAAAGGTGGAGCTAAAGAAACAAGAGTCATTGGCTGAACTTGAGGAGCGAATGCATAAAGTTGAACATGAATTGATTGTGGAAGGAACTCGAGAGATGTTATCGAGGATTGCAAAATCAACTCATCAATCCAGCTAGTCTTTTATCAATACTTCATCTTGAGTTCTGATACCATACAATCAACTTATTTCGGGTCTACTAGAAACCCCTCGTTGTGAGGTACGGTATTGTATGGATTTCTTACAATCCTATGTCCTTCTACCAGTTATCTTGACAGATTATATTGATAACATGTGTTTCCACTTTATTTTCTTTTCACGCACTCAGTTTTCAAAATTCTTAGTTGAACAGATTGAGTACCCACTTGTAAAATAAAGATCTTGACACGCCTCTGTATGACTTTGAAAAGAATCTTTTCATTTGTACTTCATATAGAGATACTCAATGAACCTATTGAAGTACTCCCTGAACCTTTGACTATGGAGAGTCAACACTCTTGCCTCAATTCTTTCATTATTTTTGTCTCCTGAAACTTATCAACTAGGTCAAGACTACAAAACTCAAGTGCTTCATATCCTCGTACATACGTTTTGGATTGTTTGGATTATGGTGTTTTGAAGTCATCACTGGTGAGAGAATTGATTTAGCATCTTCATCTGTCATTAGTGGATGGGGAACTCAAAATATCACTGCCTCAGTAGGCTCTTGGTCATTCAAAGCTCTACATAACAAATTACAGTGCACAATTGGTGGAATGGTAATCTCTTGACGTGTGGAATGTGCGAGTGTGATCAACCATCTCAGGTCTTGGATGTCGAGATGTGAGTATATTCCAGGGATTGATTGTGGGGCAATGAGACTTATCACTTGATCAGTGAAAGACAAATTCATATCAGTCACCAATCTCTTATTTTATCAGTTGACCGAAAATCAATTTGACAACTTCGCACGACGATTTCCAAAACAAGAGATGAATCTGAAGGGGTCTTTCCTATGAAGAAAAAGCTCAATATAAAAGTCGCATCAATCTCTTGATACTTTTATTACACAATATGGACGTCCAGATTGTCTTGGTCTTTTATTTTTTGTCCCTATTACGAAGTTCTTCAATTGCAGCCTTTCAATGCCGATTCCTCCAAGAAGGAGCAGTTATGCCAGTGAATATTTTGGGATATATGAATACCAGCAGACACGCTTTGAAACCCTTTGTCCTCTATTTCCGCAGTGGGTGGAGCTTGCTTGATACATAGCTTTTATATATACCTTTCGCTTACGCCGGAAAAGGTCCGGACGCATACGCAACGTTTGGGCGGAATCACTTTGTTGCACCGGGGTCAGAGGTGGTACGGTGATGGCATTGACCAAGGGATTCAGATCCATATTTGAGACATGGTGTGTGACAAGGAAGTCAGGTAATGTGACAGGATGTGTCGCCCTGCGGCCCTCCGCTGAAGAAAATGCAGCCAGATTTAACCTCTGAGCCTCATCATGGGGACTTGTGTCCTCCTGGCCATCATTGTCCTGTGTTGAAATAATTGACTGACTGTTTGTTGAGAGCCCCAAATTCGAAATGTTTCAACCTTGCCTTGGCCTGCGGTACACTTCTTTATAACCGCCTGTCCCTCCGGAATCCGGATACTGTGAATGATGGTGCGTGTGAGATCTTATAATATGATGGCTTGCACGGCAGTCATCTTCGATCGCTTGATTCCAAAATGGTAAGAGGGTCCTCATTATGGAGACGCACCATCTGAGTCTTGGCCAATGTGTAGTGTACAACTCCTGAGGACCAAGCTGATACAATTGCTGACTTGTTCGAGTTTGCTCAAGCAAGTAATGAGAATCTGTAGTACTTTATCTTTATCTCAAACCAATTTTTTGGGATGCAGGCTCAATATATAAAAGACAGCTTCACCTGGATATAAATCTGATCATCCAAATTTCTTGACATCCACATTTGCAGTAAGTTTCACTGCATTGCAATCTTTTACATCCATTTTTGGATTTTAACTTCTTTCTGATTTCTTTCGCATCACGCTGTGTGATCTCGCAGCTATAAAATTTATATATCATCCGGTGCTCACTACCTTCATATTTCTGAGAGTAGTCCAACGTATCACATCATATTCAGCTTCACAAGTACCAACCGTTCATATTCCCTCTTTTTTCAGGTATGACACAACTTCCGCATCTAATCGCGGTGGTGCAATTCAGCTAACTATTTCATCCAACCACTTCGAATGAATACCACAGCGGTGATTCAAATCACGCATTTTTGATCTGAAGTCTGAAGATGAGATCTCTCCGCGTCTTTGCCCCCTGCGGGCTTCTGATTCTTTGTGGACTGGTTGACTGGAGCCATTCTTATCCTGCACTCAGTTCGGAAGGTGCAGTGGACTCGATAGCTAGAAACGTAGAGGATGGCAACAAGTATAGTGGGGAAAATGCTGCCTTTGCCGACGCACGCAGTGGTCACAAAGCAGCCCCTCCAACAAAAATTGATACATTCGATAAAGGGAGAGTCCAAGATCAGTACGCAGAACTAACGGAAAAAACTCGAAACACATCGGAAAATGGCCAAGGTTATGAATCATTAGCCGGTGAGGGTGCAAGAGGAAGTCAAACTGTTAAAAACAGCCAGCCGTCACGAAGGGCTCAAAGAGGCAAGGCCCAATTCATTGGCAAAGTCAAAACTTTCTTCACAACTTGGCCGGTCAAATTCTGGGAAAAAATCAAACATTGGTTCTCAAAGCTCAACTTTTTCAAATCTGATGACCAAAAAGGTATCAACCCGTCCAAAGACAACATCTTCAAGTCTGATGACCGAAAAGGTCCCAGCCCGCCCAAGGATGACTTATCTAAATACAATGGCCAAAGAGGTTCCAATCCTTCCGACGACAACAACCAGCCTCAAGCCATGCCTGTTGCAAAGCCACAAAATCCTGGCTCCGGAACCGTTGTAGGTTCCAAGGTTGAAAAACCAGCACAAGCACCACTCGAATCCATGGGAGGATCAAAGGTCAATCCGTCGGAAACAAAGAACCCCAAGAACCCCAGTAGAAATTCGCGTCAGGCTCCTACTCAACAAGCTCAATCGTACACCAATCCCCAGAAAGGTGCACGAGCAACAGGACCGCAGAAACTGCCACGCAAGAAATCTGGCCCTTCTGATTCAAGTGCCCTGCCTGAATATTCCAACAATCTGCCATTGGCCATTCACCAACCACATGACACAAGGATGAGCTTGGTTCAGCCAAACAATCAAGTCGCATCAGGACAAATGCCGTGGGGATTTGGAATAGACTCAGGGGCCGCTCAAATGAGGTTGGCAGAATTGTCCAAATCACACCAGGCAATGGGTGAGACAATGGACGCTGCATTCAATCACCTTGCAAGGGCCAACACTGGAAAGGCTAACAAACAAAGTTGGAGGTCAGATGAAGCGAATTTAAAAATTACACCGCATGGAAACGATGGTTCTGTAACAGCGCACGCAGAACTCACATCCAACCAGGCGGAATTTGAAGTAGATCCTAAGACCGGAACAAAGTCGATGCGACTGAGCAAATCCACTATGCGAAGCTCAACTCAACATGGACCCGGCTCTTTTTTAAATCTACAAGGACCAGGGGGAAGGGGAAATACTATGGCAATTCCTTCCCACGCTTTCAATAATCGAGACAATCTCCTCAAAGGAGCTGGAGTTGGACAGCTCACATGGGGTTCAAAGAAACCTGAAAAGGTGTATCCTGCACTTCTCAATTAGCTGTGGCTATTGGAGTGTTATATTTGGTGATTGGCAGGGGCCCTTCCTAGGCAATCTCTTCCAAGCCCTCCCAGTACCACATCTATCAGAATGATAGCCCTTGAATCCTTTTACTCTGAAGTTAGATTGTTTGCTTTGAGCTTGTGGTAGATGCCATTCCTTTGTGGGTCTCTGGGAATCACCCTTTGTTTTATGAGTCCTCAAGAGCATTTCCCACCACTTTGCTGTCTTTTCCCCGCCTTACACCCACTGGTAGGCTCCTGGCCCCTGGAAATGGGAAGTCAGAGATTGGTGCCTACACACAGGAGCTTGACCCCTATGTCAGGCATGCATCATCTTCAATTTCTTCCATCAATGCACACTGCATCTTATCATATCAAACCTTCAATATACACCCAACTTTATCCTTCCCCTGCTATCTAATGGCCCATTATATAAATTACACACTAAAAATTTGGAGCCTCTTTTATACAGCAGACCCATAAATGAGCATCACCCCCTTGATTTTCTCTTTTTGTATTTAGGTTAGGCATACCTCTGCTTTTCTGTTTATTGTTGCATTGGCTAAAAAAAACAAAAAGTTGTCACCTTGGTTTGTGCAAAAACATCCCTTGAGATTGGTCATTAAATCTCAAAATCATACCCTTGGGTACTTTTATAACCAAACCCCTTAATCTTCATTTGTTTTCCAAGCAAAAAAAGGTGGCATGAGGACATCTGCCTTGTTTTTTTCCAATTAAACTTTATTAAGCAGATCAAGTGTGTTTTGCAAGGCAATCCAAGGTTGATACTCCAAGCTGTTGGGTGCACACACCTCCACAGGGAGTCTGGTATGCTGATGGGGAACCGCTGGTCACGGTTCCACCCACCGTGACCAGCGGTCACAAAGGCGGTTTCCTTCCACCGCATCGTGCGGTGGTGGGAACCGCCTTTGTGACTGAAATGTTGAAAACGTCTCAGAAACGTGTCATTTCTAGTTTGTTTCTGAAACATCTCGAAAACGGTTATCGTGCGGTGCAATTTACCCCCTGGTGTATGGAAGTTCTCGCTATGTACAAGAAGAGAGAGACCCTCATGGTTTCTCAGGGGACTTTTTTTTTGGTGCAAAACTCAGTTTTATCTGGTTTTTAGTTAAAACCCGGTGTGAGGATTCTGTCCCAAACCAAATTTTCGAATTTAGTCACGTGACCACCTCCGTGACTGCGCAAGCAGTCATCCATCCCATTATCCTAACAATTTTCACTCAAATCGTTCTCTCTTTTTCACTTTTTCTCTCATTTCCTCTTATCGTTTTCCCCTCTGTCGCGTGCTCAGATGGACAAAGGCCCCCCGGACCCCAACCTCCAGGATGGCTCAACAGTGCGAGACAACGTGTTGAACCAGGAAGACGCGATGGACGCGTTAGTTGTGTCAGACCTCACGGGTCAAATGACGGCGACGAAGCCTAAAACATGTCAAGCACCTCCAAAAACCCTTGATAGGGTTACTCTTGCTTCCCAAGCTCTCCTCGGAGTAGCTTCAAGCACTCCAGCAAACCTGCAGGGCTCAAGGAAGCGCCCTCTCCAAGCCCCCTCGAAGAAGCCAAGGATATCACTGGGACTCCTTGATTGATTCGGATTGGTCGACTGTTCCCAAGCAGCTCAAGCACTACGACAAAACCGTTAGGAGTCCTGGTCCAGAGACTGCTGGACATATCTAAAGCAGCTCTGGTTCCCAAGTCGAAACGGGCCAAGGCTGTCAACGTGGATGTTGAATCAGCGGCTGACATCTTGGTCATAGCTGTACTGATACAGGAACAAGCAAGCATCATGGAGGCACGGCGAGTGGTCTTTGACCCAAGCCACTCAACCGCTCCGGCTCCCACCTCATCCTCATTTGCTTTGAACGCTCAATTCAAATTTTGAAGCAAGTCGTTATCAGCTAAAGTCGACACACTGGCAGATCAAGTGGCAAAACTGGTGTCTGCTATCAACCCCAATAGCCACCAATGCCCACAACAACAAAAAACAGCCCAGCCAGCAGGCTCATATGCCCTCGCTGCCTCAAAACACGCGCCAAAGAACACTCAGGCGCCTAATCAGAACACACAGAGCCATCGTGCTCAACCTAAACAAAGCACCCGCCCAAGATTGGAGGCGTCCCTCACTTTGGTCCAACAGAACCCAAAATATATCTTGGGTGCTGGTAAAACCATCCCAGAGCTTATTAAAAGCCTCAATGCAGTTCTCAAGGAGAACAATATTAGGGTGTCCAAGGATGACAAGTCCCCAATAATCGTACGCAACATTCATCAACACCCGTCCAATGACATGGTAGTCTACTTAGAGTTGCAGAAGCAAGTCTAGGCGCTCCAAAGCCAGGAAGCAATCTGGCTCCCAAAGGTCTCACCGAACCTTGCTCTCAAGCAGGACATTCACTCTGTGATTGTTCACGGTATTCCAACCACCTTCAACCCAACCCGTCCAGAAGATATTGACCTTCTGAAGACGTGCAACGGTGACTTACTTGATAACGCCCTCTTCGTGAGGTGGTTAAAGAAAGATACGGCTGAAGACTCAGCAAAACAACATTTGTCCCTGCTGATTGGCTTCAAGACACTCAGTGAAGCCACCCTTGCAGCACACACAAAGGTGTGGCAAGGGCGGGGTCAACACCGAACAGAAATCAGTGGGCCCCTCCTACTCGATGTTTTATTTGCTTAGGTGTAGGGCACACAGCGGCCGCATGTAAAATAGCTCCCATGTGTCCCTATTGTTCAGGAGACCATCACATGCACAACTGTCCTGTTAAAGGAACCTCTGCAATGAAATGCATTGCTTGTGCACGTGGTAAACTGAAAGCTGATCCATGCGCCAACCTCCCGCGCCTGTTCAAAGAAGATCATGCTGATTTTCTACATCACCCGTTTTCCCCAACATGCCCAGTGAGAATTGTGAGTCAGTTCCCACCACATAACCCCAGCTTGTCACCGTATATACAAGTGACTGCCCAAGGAAGCTCATCTCACTCTCAAACTCAATGTTAGAGCAACAGATGAAGGATAAACTCAAAATTGACAACTCAGCGGGCATTCTTCAACTGAATTGCAAGCACTCTAGACACGTCACTCATTCACTTTTCAATTCAAATTTAACTTCCCTCTTTTCTATTCTTTCCATTCAAGAACCCTACATTAACCCAATAGATAACTTACTGCTCAACATGACTAATTGGTCACTCGTCTGCCCAACTCCAAGATCTCTTAAGGAGGATGACAGACCTTGGGCCTGCCTTTATGTTAGGCAATACCTGAGCCCCATCATCAACCCCATATTTTCGCCCTCACGAAACCTGGCGGCAAGTACAATCACTCTGGGTGGTTACACCGTACTGGTAGCCAGTGTTTACAACCCCCAAAAGACCCTGGACGGCTTTGAAGCTTTTGTTGAGATTCTTCAGAACGCCCCCCCAGACACCCAACTCCTCCCAATCATATGCACAACTGACGCTAATCTTCACTCCCCGCTATGGAACCCAAGCCACAGCAAACTTGATGATAAAGACGCTGAAAAACTGATAGAGATGCTTACCAACTGGGGTCTCAGCCTCAGATCTCCAAAAGGCATCCCAACCTTTGGCGTTTGATCCATGAACACCGAAGGAGCCTCCATTGACCAGGTCTGGGTCAATGAGGATTTCGATGATGCAACAATTATGTGCTTCATTGATGAGCATGATATCACCAACCACCACTCCGATCACCAGGCACTAATCACCATCTTCTCCACGAAGCTAGGCAATGTGCTCCTCTCCAAATCACAATCTTGTGAGAAGACTTAAAACCGACCTAGCCTCCTCACTCCCACAACTACGACCATTAGTCACGTGTGACGAAATTGAAGCTTTTGACAATTCACTACGTATGACCATCATTGACACACTAAACAAGAACTTGCCCAAGAAAGCAGTCTTTGGTAAGCACAAAGCTTGGTGGAAGCCTGAAATCTTAGATCCACGCCGTAAGGAGGCATCCAGACTCAGACGCCTGGCAAAAAAGTATTGAACCGAAGAATCCCATCACGCCTACAAAAAAGCCCGCAACGCTTTCAATCACGCCATCGACAAGGCCAAAGAAAACTCCTGGAGGTGTTTTCTCTCAGAAGTTGATCATACTAACCTCTTCCAAGCTAAACACATCGCGTCTGGACGCAAAGCCTCCTCATTGGTAAGCACCATCATCACGGATGATGGCAAGACCTGCTCAACCAACAAGGAGAAAGCTGCAGCGCTTTTCTCAGCCACCTGTGTGGCCACCACGCCGTGCCAACTGGACAACACAAGTCACCTAGAGTTTCCACTAGCGGACGCGGACCAACCAATCGAGACAACTACCCCATCACTCCTATCAATAATCACCCATGAAAACCTAGCGTCCGTAGTCAATGACAGTCCCCCCAAGAAGGCTCCCGGTGGTGACGGGATCCAAAATTGGGTCTGGAGGCTTGTATGGGACATGGTGAAATCTCACGTTAAGTTCCTCTTTCAATGCATCACTATTACTGGCATCATTCCCCAGGCCTGGAAGACAGTAGTTACAGTGATGATTCCAAAACCAGGTAAACCAGATTACACCCAGGCTTCATCCTATCGACCAATAGCGCTCCTTGTGACACTAAGCAAGATCTATGAGAAATTACTCACTGTACACCTATTGGGATATGACAAAAAACTCAAAATGCTCCACGAAGGCCACTACGGAGGATGGCCCAAAAGGTCCAGCCAGGAAGCCCTGGTCCATCTGATCTCTTGGATCAAGATGGAATGGTCCAAAGGGAAAGTTGTGGGCGCTCTGTTTGCAGATGTCAAGTCAGCTTTTCCGTTGGTGCATGATCCGCGACTGCTTGACACTCTCAAGAAGAAAGGAGTCAACACACAAACGCTCAACATTATCCATGACTTCCCAACTGCACGCTCGACAGTCCTTACCTTCAATGGGTTTGAATCTCAACCTTTTTCCCTGAACCACGGTCTGCCCCAGGGCTCACTGCTCTCACCCCTTCTATACCTAATGTACAACTCTTCGCTGCTAGAGATTACTGACAAAACTCTCACAGCGACGGCCTTGGGATTCATCAACGATGTGGTGCTACTGTTGTCAGCAAGAGACACACACCAGCTTGGATCCCAAATGCGCACCCTCTCATACAGACAGCAACAATGGGCCAAGGACCACGGTGCTATCTTCAACACAAAGAAGACCTTTTGGGTCCTTTTCAGCCTTCAGAACCACGAGATCACCCCTACAATCGACTTCGTGGACAGGAGGCACATCACGCCCTCGTCTTCAGCCAAATGGCTCGGGGTAGGGATCAATGATAAGCAAATTTTCAAGCAACAACGCCTTGACCTAATAGCAAAAGGACGACAGCGCGCAGGATTCCTCGCAGGATTATCAAAAACGGGATGGGGCATCCCCCCAAAACTCATCAAGACTCTCATGACAACTACCATCCATGCGGCAACTGATTATTGCACGATGGCCTGGCTGCCTATGGAACCCTTGGTGTTCTTTGTAGAACAACTCACAGTGATTGACAATGTACGTGCTCGGGCCACCTTAGGAGCCCTGAACACAACCCCAGTCACCTTCCTTTGTCATGACCTCAATCTCACACCCCCAAAAGCTTGACTTCAGAGCAAGGCATTTAACTTTATGGCACAATCATTAGCTAAATCCACAACACACCCCTTCTTTCAACTTGTTCAACAGGCCCAGCACTTGAGCCCAAATGCCACAAGAACCCCTTCCACCTCTTCTTCCAGCACTCCCTTCACAAAAAGTTTGAAGACTTTGTAGTCCAACTACCGGTTGACCCTGCGTCAACTCTCATCAAGCCCCAAAACTACTTGACAGTCATTCAGGAAAACAAAGATGCCGCAAAAACAAACACCCTCCAACTCAAACCGTCCGCCCAGCACTTGCTGATCTTTTTGGACGGCTCAAGAATCCCCAAAAAGACCACTGCCGCGGCGGCGTGGTGCGCTAACAACAAACTTTCCAAATCTGAACAATTAAGCCCAGCTCAATCCCACGGCATATACCAAGCAGAATACCGTGGGGTCCAACTTGGTCTTACCATGGCTCTTGAACAAGCAAACTCAAACACTCGTCGAACCACCATCGTTCTTGACAACCAGGGTGTGGTGAAAGACTTACAGTCCACCTTGTCTTCAATCTCATCTCTCAACAACCACCATTGGACATTCAAGCTCCTCAGGTGCTTGCACCAAGGCTTCCCACAAATGCATGTCACAATACATTGGTGCCCTGGGCACAAGGGTATTCCGGGTAACGAGGCAGCGGATAAGATAGCTAACTCATTAGCCAAAAGATCACTCCCAGAGAATTTTAGTAACACTCCCAATACAGCATCCTTCATCTCAGCTATAAAAGAGTGGAGAACCAAACAGACCAAATTCTTTGACAAGAAAGAAATAACACAACTGGGACACCGACCCCAACCAAAAAGGCACTTCGACAGACTCTCCAAACTCCTGAAGCATGAAGTCGCCACCATCACACAACTCAGATCAGCCACATACCCCTTAAGTCGTATCTAAACCGTTTCATCCAAGCTACTGACCCTCTATGTGATTGCCAGGAGGGCATAGAAAATACAGAACACTTTCTTTTTATATGTCAAAACCACGTACACCACCGTAACACGCTTGAACACTCACTTCACAAATTTGCCGCCAAACTGGACAAACGTGTCCTCTCAAACCCCAAATGTTTTCAGCTCATTGCCAATTATTGCAACTCCACCTGGAGATTTGCCATCCGGTGGACCTGGGCGAAAGCCACGGGCCAGCCTCTCCTGTCGGATAGACGTGAACCATCAGAGTAAAACTTTTCTTTTATTCTACTCCATACTTCATCGCCCTGCATACAGTTGTCTCTGCAATAACCCATACCAATGGATTCATGGGTTATCTCGGGGATTATTTTAAAAAAAGGGAGACACACTTTTGGAAGGTAGGCTGGGCTAGTGTTTTTGAGCGTGCTGCACTAAACGCTTGCAGAGCTTGACGGAGAGTCCTCCCACAAGCTTTTGCTTCCTCAGAATCTTTGTGCCTGAGGAAGTTTTTGACAACATCTGCGGACTTGAGTAGATCTGAGTATGCTGGCTGAGCAGGTACCTCTACTTCAGAGTGCTCCGGAGCAGAGATATCTGTGTTGTGGTCGTGTTGGTTGATTGCTTGGAAAATTTCTCCCGAGGGAATTGATGACACTGTGATGATTTTTGTTGAACTTGTAGTGATTTTTGTGAACTCAATGGAGTCAAATGGCTTTGAGGAGCTTTGTAGACACATCTAAAGTGTCTCCTACCCAGTGTTTGAAATTTTCCTGTAGGAAACTATGGGTTTTCAACTCTGGTTTTTGAAAAAAAAGTATGGGTTAAGGGAATTGGTAGAGTTATGGGTTTTTGACCCAGTTTCCCGCACATAAAAAATATGGAGGCAAAAAGCCATGGGTTAGGCTAGAGTATGGGTTACTGGGTGTATGGGTTATTTCAGAGACAACAGTACACAACCATACCACAATTAAAAAACATGTAAACTAGATGAAACAGCCAACAGCATACCTTTCCCCTGACACAGCCAGAGGGGTTTTACAGGTGCTGGACATAAGTAGAAGTGTTTGATAGCCTAGCGGCTAAAGAAATACTTAAAACAATGCAAAAAAAAATGGTTTCTCAGGGGACTTTTTTTTTGGTGCAAAACTCAGTTTTATCTGGTTTTTAGTTAAAACCCGGTGCGACACATTTTGTCTAAAAGTGCCGATAATTATTTTAGTAGCTGTACTTGGGGTACGCGGCTATGGAGGAATGAAAAAGTTCCCAGCCAAACTTTTCCGGCTCACACGCCAAATTTCGTCTATAAGGTTCCCTCTCTCGACTACTCGTTCGTCCGAGAGGGACTATGTTAAGTTCTGTTAAGTTAGAGTGAGTCAAGGTCACATTCGAGGGATGTGACAGTCAGTCACTCGATTTCTACGTGTGTAAGTACCATGTACATTGTATGTACTAGTCTATTCGGAAAAGATCCGACACATTAGTCGGGGCTGGCGCAGTAAATGTGTCGTATCTTTTCCGAATAGACTTGTACATCGTGACTATCGTGACTCAGATCATGTTTCCCGTGACCGATCATGTCTCTCCTCCTATGTGACATAATCTCCTCCCCCCGATGTAGCCCTGTGTAGCTGGCAGGGAACATAGAACTTCTGCCAACCTATTCAAAACGTCGCTTGCTTTCAATGATTGTCATGAAGACCTATGAAGACTAATTGGTTGTGTTTATTGGTTAGCCTTCTTTTTTGGAAGTTGGCGCAATCAAAAATTTTGACATCATGCGTTTCTTCATCAAATTTATGCTCACTCAGGCCTCAATAAAAATTCCTCGTCGACTCTCTTCACGCTGGAACAGGCTTAGCCTCCATTGAAAAATTGATTCATACAATACAACTTTGAAATCAAGATATCTTTGCTCTTTCATCTTGTGGACTCTTGGACTTTTGGACGTCATGCATTTTTTCATATCCTTTGTCTTGGTGGCCGCAATTACAGGTAATGACTTTGCATCTATGCCCCTTCGCAGATCTTCTCTGATCGTGAATTATGGCTTTCTGTGTTTCTCATTTTATAGCCATTGCTTCCGGGTCCCCACTCCCAACGTAGGCATGGCTATCCATAAGCTTTCGGTCCATTTCAAGAAACTCATTACCATCTTTTGGAATTTGGTTCTTAGCATGTCGTACTCTGAAGTAGGAAATTTGAATCCACGGGGTCCGATCATCCGGTTAGTGAATTCTGACCATTCCTAAAGTTTCCATGCGCTCATTTCATCGCCATGATTTTGTAACTTTAGAACTGCCACTCAGCCTGTTGAACACACCAAGCGCAAGTGAGTTGTGATTCTTTTCAGTGAGGAGGCTTTGATGAGTCGACAGTTGATCAAGCGTCTTGTTAGCCCCCAGTTGTTTATGACTTCCGTATGGGAGGGAATCTCGTACGGATCTTCAAGATATGGGACAGGCCAAACGAGATCAGCATCCGCGACCCCCCCTATCTCGAAAACAAACAAATGAACAGCATGAACCGCCTAAAAAGCCTCAAAATGCCTACATATCAATATTGGTGTCTAGGTTGTTGCTATCGTTCCATCTTCATCAGTCAAAGTTGCAAGTCTCCACTTGGTCTGAGATATCTATATAGTTGTTTTATGCTATTGCACTCACAGTCCATCTCATACGCCTACAACATCGAAAATTATCGAGGTAAGGACCTCTTTTGGCTGTGTGCGCGGTGGTGCGCGTTTACGATTCTCACTGCTGTCATACAGATTTATCAAGACCGAAATTTCATCTCTATATTTTATGTGCAAATGTACTCAAGCTATATGTGTTCAGAAGCTTTGAGTTAACCTTTCATTTGGGGAATTAATAAACAACGACTTTAAAACGAACCTGAAGCCGGTTTTTGTTAGACCGGATTGGTCTGGAAGGTGTACAGACGCTATACTGACATACATTGCTACAGTGATCATAATCATTCAATTTCTACATAAATAAGTACAATCAATTTTTGATACAAAAACAGATGAAGTGTCCATAGAGAAAGTCCATTTGCCTCCTTGATTTTTTCAAAAGTTTTCTATATCACGTACGATAGACGATCAATTTTTTTATGAATCAACATGAATTACTACCTTGAGGACCACAACTCAAAATCAATGAGTTAACATCTGTACCAACCGGCCAAAAACCAGGTGTACAAGTTAAATAAATATCACCACCCAAGACAGGTAAACAATAACAATCTCCACCACTTTTAAAGTAAGATGAACCGAACTGAGTGACGGTCATTGCTCCACCTTTAGCTGGTATTGTTCCGATCCTTCGAGTCCCTTGACAAACAGGCTAAATTGAAGTAAAGATTTGAAAAAAAAAATCAGTTGGGTTCCGTTCAGTGCGTTGTTTTAAAGTGAATACTTTTCAAATGAGCAACTTTGGGTTTACGTACATGACTATTCCTAAGACTATCCGATATTACTGTCTTGCCAATGACAACGTTAAGAATGATACATAAAAGTGTTACGAAGTGTAGAGATGAGAGCATCTTTAGCATATTTGTAAGACTTAAAAAAGCAACTTTGATATACGGAAGACGTGTAGAGTTCAAAACTTGTGAATGAGATGTATATATATTCTGCTAATAATTTAGGGGCGGATGCAGAGATGAACGACAGGATTCAGGAAAAAAGAGTATTGGTAATGATAATCTTAAGCAAGCAAAGCAAAAAAATGTGAAATTCAAATAGATATCGGGAGTTTGAGTTGATCTCGCTTACTGAAGGTCAATTGAACTTTTCAACTATATATACGTTACTTGGTTTGAGAAGAGATGCAGAAGAAAATACATCAAATCTTTCACTTGAGTGCTGCTTTTATCTGTCAAGGATACTGGAATCTTTCTCTGAAATCCGACCGATGTTATTGTTTTGTATCCCTTCTTCATCGATGTAATTCGTTTTGTTGGGAAAGATCGCGGTTCATCGATGACGATCAAACTTTAGAAATTAAGAGTTTGTAGTGAAGATCTTTCCTTTGGATATCGGTATAATTTCATATGCTGATTGCTTCAACAATCTCGGTTGTTAACTTCAACTCGGAGAAATCCACAACTTTCTCAATCAAGATATAGTGGGTTACCATCAGACATGCAAAAAAAGTCAATCTGGCTTCCGAGCTGTGCTATGATGGCGGGCGATGTAGGCAAACTAGTGGTATCGAAAGCGAAGTCGGTCTTACATCCGGGGACTTTACGAGCCGTTCATGCCTCACTTATACCCAAGCTTCTACATCTTTTTGACTCAACGGAACCGAATTGAACTCGAAGTTGAACTCAGCCTGACCGGCTCGATTGGAAATCGTATGCTATGCTATGCTATGCATACTTGCATTTCCTTCTAGCTTAACAACAAGCCCACTGTGCCAGGTGATTTTTCTCGGACTCGTCCGCCCCTGGCACAGGGGGCTTGCACATTAAACGACAATTGTTGCGTGACTAATAGCCACCTTTTGGTGGGTGTTTTTTCACTTCACTTTTACACCACGACCCACAAATGCATTTTCTTCAAAAAAACAGTCAGATGAGCTCTGTCGAGTTATGAAGGAAATGGCCTCTTCAGAATCTCGACAGAGCTCATGATCGTGTTGATTCATTGAGGCTGCTTATTTTGAGATTTGAAATTTCAACCGCTAAGATTGTTATGTGTACCCTTAAAAAGGCTCGAGAGATGGTCAATTGATTCCCTTAAACAAACTTATTACTCGTTTTCCAGCTCAATTCTTGTGAGCTGGCACTTTTGATTCTATTTTTTTTCTAATAGAAGTTATGTACAAGATGCTGAACTCATACCAGCCAGTTTCAGAAACAACATCAAAGTAATGTTGAATGAGATAGGATGGGTTGCATCCAAAAGTGACCCAAATTTCACTTTTTGGGGCTATTGGTCACGCCAGAGATGTCGTTTAATGTGCAAGTCCCTCGTGCCTCGGCTTCGGGTTACCGTGAGCTTTTGCACGATTGGACTTGGGTTAAGTTAGCATTTCCTTATGTTGCACCTTATTTGGGTCACAGGGAGGAGGTTAAAAGTCGTCATATCAAATGAAGGATTATGGATAGTTCTTGATAAAACCCGTGATTGCGTGGGTTTGAGCCCTTCAACTGGAGAAACAACCTAGCCTAGCAAGTTTTTTATATGTGTCATTTCGTTTCCAATTCCCGATGTTTAGCAAGACCAGGTCTTAATAGACTGAAATATTTTTTCGAGGGTATTTTTGCATGAGACAGGAGTCTTGGAATTTTTGAGATTGGGATTTTTCAATGGAGTCTAAGACAAATTGTTTTAAGTTGAAGTAAGAGTGCTTTGAAGAGCTGTTATATCTTTTCTATATGGGACATATTCTGGAGGTGAAGTAGCTGGTAAAAAGTTTGAACAGGATTGATACAGCAGAATTTGGTAAGTAATCAGGTATATGCATTAAACAAGATTGACAAGAGACTGTGATCCTGGTTGGAGTAGGATTTTCAATACCTTTAGAGAGTCAAGTTGATAGATGAGAAGAGTACTCAATTCGTTGTGAGTATCTCACAAATCAGGATGTAGCTAACAACTTTACATTTCTTAATGATATCAAAAGTGATATTCAAACAGACTCATTTATATGAAGTCACACAGAGGAATGGCTTCAGATGATAATAAATAATACAAGGAAGAAGCTATAGCATAGAGAAAGGAAATGTGTGGTAGGAAGAAGGACTTCTGACTCTTTAGTCCTAGTGTTGAGCAAAAGTTTTTGACTCTCATGTTCTTCAACTTCTGTATACCAAGACGCATCCCAGCCTCTTTACAGCCCCTGGGTATTGAGTAAATTTCCCACTTTGTTTTAGTGTTCAAGGCAAGAGATGGAAGCCCCCTAACCAAAAAGATAGTTGGACACATAACTATCTAAGATTGCACAATGGAAAAAGATATTGGCCAATGAAGATTGATGGGATGCCATTCATCGAGCATTGTCCACATTTGTTGCAGTATGTGTCTTTGGCTATGATATAATTTGGAATCAAGGGAGGAGGCAAGACTAAGAATAGATGAGGTATTACTTAAAAGTATATCCAAAGTTAAATTGTACAAGTTACGGTGTGGGGATGATTTTATGAAAAGTCACCTTGGTGTTGTAACTTGTAACTGCAAAGAATGGGTTTAATTTTGCAACTTAATGATTGCCTAATCCAATGAGATACATGCGAAGATGATGACGATGAAATTATATTTTCAATGCTTCATGATGAACCTCATTAAGTCAAAAGCTATGATTTAATTTTGAAGGACTCATCAAAGAGTTGGAGATGGACAGCTTGCCATTGCTTTTTTTGCTTTTGAACTGACGAAGTGTATGTTACAGAGACTAGGGTGTTACGTGTAGTCCGGTCCGGTCTAAACTTACCTTAGTTCCGGAAGTGACCCTTCTCACTTCTATTCTTCACCACCTTCTTCTTCCATTTCTATCAATTCACAACATTATCAATCCCTTCTTCACATCTTACTATCTACATCTTCACATTAATCATCATCACATCATGTTCAGCCGTAAGAAAGCTGTCGAAATCCCTCCAGTCGAACAACCCACATCCCGTCCACCACCTTCGAATCGTAGCTTACTCTCATCCAGTAGAGCTCCATCATCCAATGCTTCCATTCGGTCGCAAGCCGCACCTTCTTATAGCTCTCGTGGACGTTACAATGACGACTCCGTTGATAATCGACAAGAACTCTTCAAAGGTGCTCGAGCACCTCCTCGTTCATTTGTAGACCGAGATATGGATGAAGATCCAAGACAACGTCAAAGAGGTGCAATGGACGATGAGGACGAAGAAGTCGAAGCTATCAAACATCAAATCCGTTTTACTAAACAAGAAACTGTCGGGAGTAGTCGTAATGCACTTCGAATTGCTCGTGAAGCTGAAGAAACAGCTCGAAACACCATGAATCGACTCGTAGATCAATCTGGTAAATAACTCGTCCCTTCTGATTCACGAGACCCTTTACTAATGAAATTTCATAGTACTGACCCATTTCCTTTTTTGCATTCAGATCGTTTGGCCAATGCCGACAATCATTTAGATTTAGCCAAATCACATGCTTCTAGAGCTGATGACCAACAAAAAGAAATCGTAGCCTTGAACCGATCCATTTTTAGACCCAACATCACATTCAATAAGAAAGGCAAACGAGATGCCGAAGAACAAAGAATCTTAAATCGACATCAAGAAGAAAAAGAAGAAAGAGAAGAAGTTAGAAGACAACAAATGGAATCTAGAGAAAGAGCATCAGGAGCGATGAGAGCGATGGACGAAGCACCTAAACAAGGTGGATTGAGATCTAGATTAGCTGAAAAGAGTCGATATCAATTTGAGAATACTGCAAGTGATGATGAATTAGAAAACGAATTAGATGATAATATGGATGAAATTGCTGGGGTGACTTCTCGTTTGAATATGATGAGTCGTACTATGGGAGATGAAATTCAATCTCAAAATAAAAAATTAGATTCGATGACTGCTAAGACTGATAAACTTGATTCTAGAATTTATGGTCAAACTGAACGCCTCAAACGTATCAAGTAGAGTCCTTCTCATTTACTTTGTTTTGGATCTGATACACTGGCTCTTATTCTCTCTTGTGAAGTTGTTGACGTTGACATTATCATAACATATTTGCAATGTGTTGTACTTTCTTCATCTTTCATATCATCAACTCACAACACCTCAGCTTCTTCTCTTTCTTCCTCTTTATCTTTTTTCAATCTGTATGTACTTTCTCATATCTCCTTTCTCTCAATGAAACTACTTTGATATTTTCTTTAGCCATCTCTATAATCTCACTTGATTCTTTTCTTTCTCACGCTTTCCTTTTTCATCGTTGCAATGTAAATTCTTTACCATAGGTTTGCATTCTATTCAATGGTGTATGAATACACAAACTTCTGAATGGTCAAATACAAACTGGCAAATTCCCATCAAGAACAACTTTTTTGAGTTTCATCACTTCTTAGAGCCTATGACCAAGCTCATTGATGTGCATCATACCAAATATTTTTTTCTAGATTTATCTATTTCTGCACCCTTTTTGCGTCACTTCCTCATAATCTTGTTGCTGAAAAACACGACAGAAGCACAAAACTCAAACATTCATTGGGATAATGAAAATCAAGGGTCCGTTCAGCAACGGTCATCAGATTGCCAATTGACATATGGTAAGCTTGAATCACAAGTGGAATTCAAGAAACCCAAATGAGAAGCTCGATTTGAAAATACGGCCCTAGACTCGCGTTCACTCACCTCAATAACTGGTGCCTAAACATATTGCTACCACTTGGCTAATCCAGTCAAATATTCTTGATACCGGTTTTAGGGTGGCCCATGCCAATGCCGTCATGATCTAAGATACCTTTGAAAAATATGGAGTTGATTATTATTTTCATTCCAAGAATTGATATTTTCCAAGGCACTATGTGATGCAACTCTATGGAGTCTTCAAGATTGGCATGTAGAAACCAAAACAAACTGAGATTTTTCAAGCTTGAACAAAGGAAAAGAAAGACTGATAATGATTGGTTAAAAAAAGTCTTAGTTTCTTGTTTATTAGGAAAATTGAAGATTAAGAGAACATGAGATGATTCTGAACTATTTACATTATGTAGAAAAAAATTATTATTGTATTGTATTGAAGAATACTTTTCTTCACGGATCACTAATTTCATTTTGACTGAGTGATTTTAATTTGGTAATGGTATGCTTTGTGAATTTAATGTTCATCGATGATCATTATTTAGTAGGGTTTTTAAATCAAATGTAAATGAATCTGAATAAGATCTAGAAGGATATTGATGATCTTCAAATTTGTTGACATTGAAACTTTTTCTAAATGAAAGGTTTTCAGGTGAATTGTTTGCTGTGTGTTTTCTATAATTTTATATATATCAACTCATTGTTAGTTTAGCTTGAGAAGTTTGTTAAGGAGTATTAATGTTTGTTGAGCTTACGTAGTGGGTGGTACCAGTGGTGGTCTCTCACCGAGTTTCTTTGTTGATGGATTTATACCATCAAAGAAACCTAATTTAAAAGAAATCAAAATCAATCAGTCTGATGTTTTGGATGTATGAGGATATCATTTGTGACTCACTAAGAGTGTTTTTGATTCTTAAACTTTGAATCCTTCTTAAACTTTTCCTTTTCCAATTTGATTTTTCTCCAGACGTAACAGTGATTAATGTTTGTGGATTTTTAGTAGGTAATAATTCAAACTCTTCTCCTTTAATTTTATTATTTATATCACCACACATTAAACATGACATTCGTTTTTTTAATTTAAGATTTCTTTTTGAAAACCTTTTACAATTACATTCTTCATTGATTTGTTGATAATTTTTTAAATTTGACCTTTGATCTGAAACTTTGATCAATTTATTCGAACTTGTAGGTTTGATCTCGGTGATTGGTTTGATTAATTCTCTTCTATGAAACTCGTGACTTGCTACTATGGAGTTAAGAAAGAATGTTCCAAGGATCGTAAGCTTTAAAAGACGAAATGACGAGGTATAAGAGTTGGACTTCATTCTATTGATCGTTAGACGTTCAAAAGTATTCGAATGAGTCGGTTGTATGATAATAAACGAGGGAAAAATAAAGTCAAGAAAAGAATAAATAATAGTCAAGCTTGAAAAGATTATGGGATGGTGAACAATTAAAATCTCTGAACCAATCCGAAAACAAAGGAGAACTTTTTATACTCATTTCCACCCCCCACCCTCATAGTTAAGTTCAAAAGACGACATGTTGGTAGTTACAAGCTTCATCTTTTGTAATTCTCGCGCTACAATAATAAAGGCTCTGGTCAGGAAACTGAAACACCTTTATTTTCTTATTCCAATGACTAGCACATTTGACTAGCGTACAGTCTGTGTGCTCAAGTTCTCCCCGTGTTTTTTGTAGGTCTATAACCAAAAAAATTGAAGATCAAACACCTTAGGGGTATGGATCTTAAAGATCAAAAGTCAAATCTGTTTCTAACCGATTGGATCTTTCCTTTATTCGAGAGTGCAATATGTACTCAAGTTGGGAAGGCGTTTGAAAATATGACAGGTACTTCAGGGATCTGATGCCAATCTTGACGAGAAAGACGCGAAAACAAAAGAGTGTCATGTAGTGTGACTGTGAGCCACCGTGGCACCAGATGTACGAAAGATCCACAGTCTTGAGCTTGAAAGAAGCCATCATATTTGACTAAATCAATCAAATTTCTTTGGAAAGATCAGAAGTTCATCGTACGAAGATCAGATTTAACTTTTCAAAAACTCGATTTACACAGTGAGGCCACCATGATCAACTAAGATGTTTGGTTTCGTGTGATATAAGGGAATCCGAATAGGCTATGAAAAGAGATCTCACAATGAGTGAGATATAGCTTGGACCTCCCTGTATAGCTTTTCGAGGAATAAAAAATAGGTGGTACTGAAATGATACCCCTATCTCCTATTGCTCAGATAATAATGATGATCAAGTGCCTCACAAGGGACGTGCAAGGATGGGCGGGCGGCCATTGAACAAGGAGGTTTGATTTTTGATTCTTCAAGAACGGAGAGAATTATTACTATGTTAAGCTTAAAGATTTTGCTCAGTGAGAGAAAAATGTTTAGCAACATTTAATGGAGCCTTTGGAACATCTTATCCTGATCATTTTGATTCTGAAAAGCAATGAATGATTTGGCGTAACCCGTGTTGTGGCTCAAAGTATCCGGGACCGAAGCTGCCCTCAGTTGATTCCCGCTAATAGGATCGGCGCCATCAGCGACTGTCTGCAGGGCTTTGAAAATCTGGCGTTCCATCGATCACCTTCATCTTTCACTTCAATGGGCTCTTTGATATGACCACTAACGAACTGCCCTTCAAGGACTGCTACTGTTTCTATATCCGAAGAAACACTTGGCCTCTCCTTCAATTCTACTGAAGTCGTCAGGAAAGTCGGACAGCATCTGCTTTTATCAACATGTGATCCACGATCATGGGTTCAGAAATCCAGAAGCCTTATATACAGTCATGACTGACGGTCAGGACAAGGCAGAACAGCAGAACGACATGTCAAGATGCAGCGGCATAAACGGAAGGTTTGCCGACCGCTGTGCGTGTTTGAAACCAAGGTCATGATGTGATTTGAACCTGAGGACCCCGGGTCTTCTCTCCCGCGAAGAAAAGACCTCCCTCATATCTGAAGTCCCTCGTCGAGTCGTGCCTCGGAAATCAGATAAATCAATTACGTCCAGGCACGAGTAGTGTTCGCATCAAGGGAGAGGCTATCAGTCCAATCGGTAATGGTTGGGTTCCGGATCCAATCTCTGGAGCGTGGAGTGCGATTAAGCGTACGGCATCTTAGATGGCTTATCTGCGTCCGAAGTAAACAAGAAGTTCAAGTGATTGATCCTCAACTGAGGCTTCGAATACGGACCATAGATCACTGTCTACTCTCTTCAAAGCAGCTGACCCGACAGTCTAGAGGATACTCAACAAGACGACGACTTTGATAGAATCCACGTGTAAGAACTCACCAGGTACGTAGAAGTTAGCGGCCGCAACCGTACCTGATTTCCAGTGAGGTCGGCTGAAAGGATTATGACCTGATCCGCTAACAAGTCACTGGAAATTTTCTACGCATGCAATAGGACCATGATATTGAGGATAGTTGGGATCGCAATGGACTATATATAATCTTATAATCGTTACCTTCCTAGTCTTCATCTACCCACCAATCTGTCTTTTCAATCTGTCTGCAAAGTCATACTTTCACAAATTCTTTGAACTCTCAATAGAATACTATCTTTAACTTTCTAGATTTCTTTCGAAGCTACTGAGCGTCTCGTAGCCTTCATCAACTTTCTGAACATTCTCTCTATCAAACAATAACATTTCCATCGACTTTCCTCGAGGCTCTACTGCCCGCCCTAGACTCTAGGTCTATTACTCTATCATAGATCTGTCTTCTCTCACTCTTTATACACTCACTAGAAGAGCTCAACTTCAATCACGACAACGTTCCAAGACAATGTCATTTCGATCAAAGCTTTGCTTGATCGCTCTCATTCTTCCCTCACTCGAAACCTTGGTATCCTCTGCACCGCTCAATGATGCCACCAAACCTTTACACCGACGTAAACCCGAAGACGGTTGGTCTTGTCATTATGACGGACCTGCAAACTCTGGAATGGATCCTTCTTTAGATCTTCCTGGAATGGTTTCAGCGCTATGTTTTAAGGTAAGAGGGATTTGTTCATTGTGGATCCCAATCAAATACTCATAGTGATTCTCTTTAGGTCAATTACTCCTTTGACGGCTGTGAAAATTTCGACCCCGATAACACAAACGATAAAGGCAAATCAGACTCTCCTTCGCCACTCTCGGGTGTCATGGGAGGAAAGGATAAAGGATCCTGTCCACCCAAAAAATGGAACAGCGTAAGTCATAAATTTCCATTTTCGCCTTTGAACCTACTTTTGAAGGATAGTGATGTACCATAGCTGACATGTTCGATTTTTCAGCTCCTTTCTTTATGTATGGACATCTCTATCGGTGGAGGTCCACCAAAATCTTCTGATGGCTCCAACGATAGTCCACCAGCTGATTCTTCTAATAATGGATCGAATGGAGACGAACAACCAGAGGGTCACCATCCTCATCGTCCATCATCTGGAACTCCCCGAAAAAAACCGTCCAAAACCGAATCTAAGCATCCCTCTTCAGGAAAAAAGAATCATGGAAAGCACTCGGATGGAAAACCGGATCACGGCAAGAAATCAGATGGAAAACCGGAGAAAGATCAAGATGGAAAAGTATCGGCTTTTAGTTTTGACGAACCTGAAGGAGATGAACCTGATGATGATGAAGCAGGTGATAAAAAGAAAGACCATCATCCATCTTCCGACAAGAAAAAAGGTCATAAAGATCATAAGAATGGTAAACCTCATAAATCGGATGAACCCAAGAAAGCCGAGCAAGATGGTAATCACAACCCTGATGATTCAAAGAAAGATGATAAAGACGGAAAAGATAATTCAGATGATCCTAAGAAAGAAGATCAAGATGGAAAGGTTTCTGCTTTTAGTTTTGATGAACCTGAAGGTGATGATGATGACGATGCACCCGATGACGATAAGTCTGGTGAACCATCTGGGGTGAGTAGCTCCTATTTATGTGATATGCTTGTTCTATCTTTCTGATCTGATCTACTCTACCTTTATAGGACAGCAACGGTGATAACTCTGATGGGCCAGGTGGAAACGGGGGCGATGACTCGCCAAACGTATGTACTGTTTCTTTTCTCATCTACTGTTCAAAACTCTTATCGTCCCCAAAGGCTTTTGTTGAACTTCATATTTCCCTCCTTCAATTTGATAGGGTGGCAATGGTGATGGATCCGGTGATAATGGATCTGGTGGTAACGGCTCCGGCGACAACGGATCTGGTGATAAGGGAGGTGACGGGTCGGGATCTTCGCCGAGCGTAAGTATCCATCAGAATTCTTCTGGTCTTACATAATTCGCTGATGATCTGCATTTATCCTCTCTTTTGTATTCATAGAACAACAGCGGTGATGGCCCGAATGGCGGAAATGGATCAGACGGCTCCGGTGACTCGCCTAAGAGAGGAGATGGATATGGCGATTCTCCCAAATCAGGAGACGGCTCTGGTGATTCGCCTAAAGGAGAAGACAGCTCCAATGATTCGCCTAAGGGAGGAGACGGTTCTGGCGACTCTCCTAAGGGAGGAGACGGTTCTGGTGATTCGCCTAAGGGAGGAGACGGCTCTGGTGATTCACCCAAATCCGACGGCTCTGGTGATTCGCCCAAATCAGGAGACGGTTCTGGTGATTCACCGAAATCAGGAGACGGTTCTGGCGATTCGCCCAAATCAGGAGACGGTTCCGGTGATTCTCCCAAATCAGGAGACGGCTCTGGTGATTCACCCAAATCAGGAGACGGCTCTGGTGACTCGCCCAAATCAGGAGATGGCTCTGGTGACTCGCCCAAATCAGGAGATGGCTCTGGTGACTCACCTAAGGGAGGAGGCGACTCTGGTGATTCGCCAAAGGTATGTTTTGATTTCAGATATTTGATCTGGACATCAGCATTTGATTAATTTGTTTTATTTTCGCGCGTATAGAACAACAATGGCGATGGACCGGATGGCAAGGGGGACGGCGGATCCGGAGCCCCACCCTCTGGAGTGCGTTTTCCCCCTCGAAATTTGATATAATCTTGGTTTCCGGTTTATAGACTTCTGATTTTTTCTTCTTTCATTTATTTCACTTTCATAGGATGATGGAGGGAAATCACCTGATCATGGCGACAATGGACCCGATAAAGGCAGCGACTCACCTGATGATAAAGGTGGAGACCATCCTGGTGCAGATAGCGGCAATGGACCTGATGACAAGGGTGGAAAGGGCGACGACGGATCTGGGGGCAATCCTTCCAACGTACGTCGCGTGCTCTGAATTTTTATCCCCTACCTGAATATTTGTTTTTTGTCACATCATCGAAGCGGGCGAATTATTGACTTTTTCTGACTACGAATTTATTCATTCAAACAGGATGGCGGCGACCATGGGCCAAATCATGATGGGAACGATGGAGATCATGCCAAAGACAATCCCGATGATAAGAAAGACGATAAGAAAGACGATAAGAAAGATGACAAGAAAGATGACAAGAAAGACGACCACAAAGGGAAAGATGACGATAAAGGGGGTGATGATGGAAAAGACAAGCATCACAAGAAGAAACCCAACAAAGCTCATAAGAATCATGATGATAAGCCCAATAATGACGGAAACGAAGGCGGAGAGCAACATCATTGCAAGGAGAATGAGAAATACAGTACAATTGTGGAAGATTGTGTTGATAAGAGTTTCTTTTCAAAGCCAAATGATGATGACAGCTGCAAGAAAGGCGAATTTGATCCTGTAGGTTTTCTTCTCATCAATTCCAGCGTTTTTCTTAAAGAATAACTTGAGCTTTCTTTCCTCCCTGAACTGTAGAAAATCCAACTTTGCCTTGACGTCTCCATGCTAGGGGGGTCTGAAAAACCAGGACCAAACAATAACTCTCAAGACGATGACAATGATGACGGTGGATCAGGTGATGATACCGACGGAGGCGATGATTCGGGTTCGGGAGATCAGGATTGCCCTAAAAAGAACCAAATGTATACATCTTTGATCTCAGCATGTGTGGATATGAAACTTCTCACAAAGCCTATGGCAGGCAATCGATGCGGTAGCGGTTCGATTTTAGACGTCGTACGTTCTCTATATCCTTTGTCTTATTTGTGCTCAAGTTAACCAAGTTGATAATTTTTCTTTTCTTTTCAGATCATCGGGTTGTGTCTTGATGTCTCAGCCAGTGCAAACCTACCAGGGCTGATCAATGCGAACACCCATGGTCACGTTGAGACTTGATTCAAAGGCTTCTAAAATCATTTCATCAAATAGAGTGACTTTCTCTTCATCAAAATAGATTTCTTATGTTTCTCTCGTTCTTGCTTTGATTTAGGTAGAAGTCTTTCAGAGTTTAAAATCTGTTATTTTGTTTTCTGTTTGACATTATCAAATAGTCTTCAATTATCTGTAGCTGTTGCATTTTGTTTTAGATTTCTAGTTTACACCAAAGTTAGTATACTGAAATCAAAAGCTATCAAAAGCGATATCAAAAAAAAAATTGAGGTGCCTACGTCTTATCTCGCGTTTGAATGAATTGGTCTCCTCATTCAACATTATCTCCTTCTTTGATTGGATACTCTGAATATCGCAAAAGATGTGAAGACCACCTCCCAAAGCCTTCTTTGGAAAAAGCTTGGTAAAGTCGAAGAGAAAAAAAGTTATCACACGATTACCAGTAAATTCTGATGTGCCGATGTCACATTCTGTTCCGATTTCTTTTCATCTTCACGCCATATATGATACGCAATTCGAAGGTTAGAATCTTCCAAGATATGGATCGCTTACATCCTAACCTTTTTGTTTGCATTGTGATGTCGACCATTTTCATTCCAAACGGTATTCTGATCTCTTTAACTTCTGCCCCTCTTTTGCTTAAAGTTATACACTCGATAAATGTCCTTTTTTTGTCTTTCCGATATTTTGCAAAGATTTAAAAGAACGCAACAACTTGTCTTTGAAACAGCGAGTCTTTTACTTTCATAACAAATCACGAAAGCAAGACTTCTTGAAAAAATAATCGAATTAAATTTCTCTTCATACATAGATTTTTATTTCATGATTCTGAACAAAATAGAAAATACAATCGTTCAATACATTGTCATCAAAAAGCAAAAACTAGTCCGTTTGTACATATCTATTTAACTATTTAAAAATAAAGCGAGTTGCAATGGCTGCTTAAAAAACAATCACCAAGGTGTTTCAAGGTAGCCTTTTTTGTGTAATTTTACACTACGACAAGGATGAAATACCTTTCTAGGTGTCTCGAATGGAAAGTACGATGGTTTGATGAATATATAGATCTTTGGAAAATTTGTCTGAAGTTTTGAAAAATACGTAAAAAACACCTGATGAAGCTTGAAACCCCTGAATGTATCAAATGAATGATATATGCATCACATCCACGAGACCCACACGAGAGGGGATTGGTTAAGCTTACCTCGGGATATGCCCTACAGGGCTTTCACGGCAAGTTCCATGTAAGCTTTTTATACTTTGGGGTTTTAACTCATTTGGCGCTCCAGAGTACGGTGGCTCTAAAGCGCCACTTAAGTCACTTCATCAAATTTGACAAATTTGACCTTCCAGACCCCCAAAAAGGTCCGCTGACCAAGTGCCGACCCTGGACAATGTCCAGACCCGAGGCAATGCTCAATCTCATTGAGGACCCAGTCAATTTTATCAGCGCGCTACTCTATTGATGTTCAAAACTTTAGGATTGAGAGAAGACTACAGGAAAATAAGTAACTTTTCAACGTTCTGAACATCTTGTTCAAATAGGTTGGACAATGAAAAAGGAATCTAGTGCTTGTTTGATTTCTAGCCGGACATCCAGCAAAGTTTCTCAATCCATGAATAAGGTATGCTATGTCTATGAGCTGAAGGAGATGAAGTACCTTCAAGGAAGACAAGAAGTTGTTAATAGAAAGATAAGGGAAATAGAAGGATCCCTACAATAATGGTATTCAAGATTCACGAAGTGGCGTCCAGAAGTGTCAAGAAGTGACATCCAGAAGTTTCTTGAACACGCTCGAAAAACTTCTGGAACTTCTTGATTTGTTGATGCTTGAAGGAGTGGTTCGGCCGGAGGGTGAGCCATATGATGGCGTGCAACACCTTTGAGTCCTCTTAAGACTTGTCGTCGGACTGAGACCCGCGGCATGATCAGGTGGTAATCGTATCGTGACCAAGGAGTTGATGGAGGTTGATGGGGCTCTCAAAGTTGCCCAGAAGTGTCACGAAGTGTCACTCCAGAAGTTTCTCGAGCATGTTCAAGAAACTTCTGGATGTCACTTCTTGACACTTCTGGACGCCACTTCGTGAATCTTGAATACCATTAATAAACTAATCGATTCAATTAACTATATACACTGTATTCTTATCAAGTGTGTCCTTATTAAGTCCCATAATTGTCTTGATCTTAGAGTTCATCATATTTGAACAAGTCCTACTTTTAGTTCTCTTTAAGTACTCCGCCAAAGTCGATGATGAAAAGTCGGTGAGAAGGCAAAGGAGAATCTGATGATTTGGCCGAGAGGGTCGGCCAGGGTCGGCACTTGGTCAGCGGACCTTTTTGGGGGTCTGGAAGGTCAAATTTGTCAAATTTGACAAAGTGACTCAAGTGGCACTTTAGAGCCACAGATTCTACACCTAGAGACGGGTCTGATTAGACCTTCACCCCGGCCACACCCCGGCCACTTTGACCTACCCCGCAGCCCGAACCCGCGGGACCCCCGCAAGCCGGGAGGTACGATTTTTTTCCCAAAGCCCGCCCCCGCATTTCCCGGCGGGAGGCCGGGGGATGCGGGGGGTACCTCCAAAAAAAAAAAAAAAGTATGGTGGGAAGCGTCAAGAAGCACAAAACCACGGACCGGGTATCTTGTAATTACAGAAATCCCCAAATTTCATTCTTTGCTGTTGACCACTGCAATTCATATCATTCTCGAGCTATCTTCTTCAACATTGACCTTTGAATCATCATATAACACAATGGCAACAAAAGCCCAGAAAGCTCAGCGTTGTCGTCGACATGGATCCGAGAAGTCTTCAAAAAGATTGAAGACAAACCAGTCCAAGCCGTGGCTAACTCTACCAGATATTTCGGATCAATCCTCTGATTCTAGTTCAAGCTTGTCTTCTTTGGACTCAGAATCATCTGCTCTCTTGGACCCGGAATCAGTCCAAGAACCTTTGGACAACTCATTAGATTCCAATTCAAACGAGTCAGAATTATCTTCTCTTTCAGACTCAGAATCAATGCCCAAAGATTCTTCAATCAACTCATTTAAATCAACAGATCACATCCATACCAAAACACCTTATCAACTTGAAATGATAGATCAAGAGTGGAATGAGCTTAATCAAGCAATTGAAGATGCTTCTAATTATTGTGAATCCCACCCAACTCCGACCCCAATTGCACTTAAGAAAGCTGATCAACTCAGCCTCATATGCGAATTTAACAACCGTCGAAGGATTCTTAACCTCGAAAATCCAAAGAGTTGTGCCATCCAAGCGTCTCGCGAAACAGTTCATAATCTATGGCTCCGACAACGAAATCCACCAGATGATGGAAGCGGCATCAATCATGCTTCTAGAATTCGTGCCCAAGCTGCTTATATTCTCCAGCATCGGCATCTTCCAGAGAGCGGTAGAGGTAAATCAACACCTCATCCATCAATCTTGGACAACGGTGAGGTACTCAAGATAATCGCCGATTGGATTACTGAGCAGCCAGTTGGAAGGGTAAATATGCCTATCTTAAATTGTTTCATCCAATTTTGTCCATCTGATCCTTAGCTGACTTGACTTTTTACTCTGTTTTCTTTAGGTAACACCCAAAACACTAACTCACTATGTGAACACGGAGATTCTCCCCAAATATGATCAACATAAAGAAATGATATCTGTATCAACTGCGAGGAAATGGATGCATAGAATGGGGGTTCATGTGAATGAGTACCGGCGATCTTTGTATTATGATGGGCACGAACGTGCTGATGTTGTAATATATCGAAAGCAATTCATTAACGAGATTTTCGAACTTTGCAAGCGCGAGACTCAGTATGACGGTAGAATGATGGATGAGATCGTTTATCCTGAACTCAAGGATAACACCCGCGAGATTGTCAGGGTTTATCACGATGAATCAACTGTTCACACCAATGAACAACCCAGACGAGCTTGGATGTCCAACAAAGATGTTGCCCTTTGGACCAAAAGTATTGGCAAATTGATTCACATCTCCGACTTCATCTGCCTCACAACCGGACGGCTTGTACTACCTCCTGACAACACCTCAACACTGCCGTTTCAAGATGCAGCTGTCACAATATACCCCGGAGCTAAGGAGGGATGGTGGGATGCTCAGCAACTTGTTGAACAGATTGTCACTCGAGCCATTCCAATATTTGAAACCAATCATCCAAAGGCTCAAGCATGCTTTATTTTTGATTGCTCTGCAGCACACGAGTCTTTCGCTTCAGATGCTCTTCACCTATCCAAGATGAATCTCAAACCTGGTGGTGCAAAGGCTAAGCTTAGGGACACCGTTATCCCATCTGATGATCCAAATATTCCAATGGAGCTCCGAGGAAAAGTTCAAACAATGAACTTCTCACACGATTATGTCACCCCAGCTCCACCCAAGAAATTGAAACGTGTGAAAGCTGCTCAGATAGAAGATCTGGCAGGAAAACCAAAAGGCGTCAAGCAAATTCTCATTGAGCGTGGCTTGTGGGATCATCACAACAAACTGCGTGCTTTGCAAGGTGAAAAAGAGATGAGTTTAAAATGCAAGGACTGCAAGATGACTGGAAGTGCAAAGGATAAAATTGCTCGAGCCGAGAGATTACTTAGACATGCTAAGATTCCTGAAGAAAAAGATTGACCAACTCCTAGCAATGCTTTACCCGGGGTAGATATTCCAAACTGCTGTGCACACAAGGTGCTAGCAAGCCAATCCGACTTTGCGAACAAAAAGCCACTGCTTCAGCAGGCAATTGAGAAGGTGGGTCATATCTGCAAGTTTCTGCCCAAGTTTCACTGTGAATTTAATCCCATTGAGCATCTTTGGTGTTACATCAAATCACGTTAGTCTTTTCATTATTTTCTCATTTCTTTTCAGCTGTGCCTGATGGAAATTGAACCCTGATTTCATGACAGGATATCGAGATCACACTTTTGAATGCCACAGCCTACAAGAAGCTAAGGACTTGTTTGAAAAGATCCGGCAAACATGT